TTGGCTTAAGAATACTTAAGGAATACATCCTTTTCTTTAAATTTTGCTCCTAATTTTTGACCGTTTACGTCATTTTTTTTTAATTAATGGAATCTTTTCTATTTAAAAAGAATATGTCTCGGGGATTATATAAGAATTCATTTCTCTTTTTTATCGAGATACAAAAATTAACAAATGGCGTACTATATAATATAACGATAATTAATTTATTGCACGTATCTTGAATTTGTAAAAAATGCTTATCAATGTGTAAAGTTATTGCGAACAACTGTCTTCTCTTTTCTGCATTTTTTATTCATCATACTACTTTATATCATTATATTATCAGGCGCGCCATTAACAAAATTCACAATTAGTTTATCTCGTATCACTTAATTGTGTCTTTATTATAACGTATGAATGTCACCATACACAATATACTGTTTGTATACAAAACTCTACGAATTCGACATAATTAACACTTTGTCTTTTAATAATAATGTTATTCTTCCTCTCTTTTTTTCTCACACATACATGCATACTTGTTCTATTTAGCGTTTTAATTTAAAATACTTTTCGATTGATTGATAATACTAGAATTTATTGTTGCCAATTGTTAAAACAAGTAACACACGTTTGTTACATCACAGTGCAACAATAGGAAACGCCATTTAGAAAATGTATCTATATTCACTGATAATAATGACCCGTAATAATAGATGCAATCTTTGGTCTAGATAATAAAGCTATAAGGCCCGTTTCTCGGCCACACATCAATAAGAAACATTAAAACATTATATATAACAATTTTTTTATAAACTTTAATTTAAAATATTTATGAGATGTGAAATACATATATACACAGAGCTATATAAAATTCATCTGATTTCTTTTACTTTTTTTCGAAGGGCTCGGAATACCTTGTCTTGGGTTCGAAATGTTCTAAATCCGCTATTGCACATAACATTATGTTAATGCGTGTATAAGGTTCCGAAGAGATACGAAAATTCGAGGTGTGTAAATTTTACGAAAACCTGGCGTCGAATGTTGCGGTCGCGAAAGCATATTTTCACGCCAGGAGCGAAGCATAAGCTTCTCCCGGCGAGCAAAATTACCTTAAGAAGTGAGAAAATATGTGCACAAGGTTGTTTGCGCTCGTCTCGCGTAGAGCCATCCCTCTTTCGGCAGTGTTTCAAATATATTTTCTCGTGAAAATACACAGACACATAGCTACATTATCGATACTCTGGAATGGGATCGACAGATGTCATTATGTCGTTTTATAAAAGAGAAAGGAAAAAAAATGGTACGTGTACAAATTTAAAATATGTTATCTTTATAAATACAATGATATCTCAATGGATAACGAAACTTTCACGTTTTCAAGTTAATATTTTTTTTTTATTAAATTCCATCCTATTAAAACTTTGAGAGATGACGAACGAGAGAGATTTAAAAGACTTATTTGTCACAATTATAAAAATATTAAAAATTAAATTAATTCTCTCCCTCTCTCTCTCTCTCTCTCTCTCTCTATATATATATATATATATATATATATATATATATACATACACATACATAACGAATGCATTTATTCATTTTTATTAGCATTAAATACATTTTAATGTATTCCAAGTTAATGTGTAATCGTATTTAAATCGATTGTAAATTAGCGGATTGTATATAAAAAATAAAATAAAATATGTAAAATTTTAAATGTTATTGTAATATACGTGCGAAATAACACACGCGCACGCGAAATTGTCGAACACAATTTAAATAAATTATTTGATAAGTTATATTCTCATTAGCAAATGTAATCGTTATGCCTGTGTGTAGCAGGTCGTCACTCGACTACATACGACGAAAGTTTCATTTCACGCAATATTGCACGCCATGTGTCGGTAACTAACTACATGATCATTTATTTTTCAGAAGCAGAGAATGTTAGGAAATAAATTCACGGCAACGTCTCTCTCTATATGCCAACTGGATCGATAATTTAGAAAAGTGAAAATCCCAAAGTCACACCATAGTGAGTCTATGAAACAGCATTATATTCCGTATATGTACTTACTAAGTTTTATTATCGAGTCATTCTTCGAGCATAGAACTTTCAAGAAAAATCAATCAATAAAAACTATCCCATAAAGACCATCATCAATTCTGCGATCATCAAAAATTTATTGAAAATGATTTTCACGTAAGATAAAATTTTCAAGGAAATATATCAAATATTTATTGTCCTCTACGTGAAATAGAGCACGTAACGCGTATATATTTCGCATATTGATTTTTCATAACTTCTTTAAAATCTCAATTTCATGAACAGTGAGCACATGGCAAAAATATTGCAACCCTAGTTTCTCGGGGTCAATTGTCTTGTTAAATTACAATTCTCGATATGTATTTTGCAAAAATCTTTGTCGAATAGCATTGTCATTTCGCGTGATCGATTACACCCCGAAAATTCGTATAATTTTGATAGTATGCCACAATTAATACCGCATATTTTCCTTAATCAACATAGTTTACACATTGAGTTCGCATAAATTCTAAACCTCACGTGTTCATAGTCGCTACATAGACAACGAGTGTTATCGTTGCGTATATTGAACCGGCATGCGATGTTGCGGCGGCCAGTTGTGTGCCACGTCGATAGAAAGGTATAAAAAAAAGCTTGTGGAAATCAGATATAAAGACTTAACTTGCACGCAACAGTTGACTCTTGGCTGCTTTAAGCGATCGACACATACGCCGACATATACGCGAGAATACTTGAAAAAAACACATTTTAAATATTCATTTAAACACGTTTTAAATGAAGCAGATAAGTTAAAAAAAATGAGACATTTTTGTCAATTCATATTTTCTTGCAACTCTGCGAAACATAAATCTCCAAGATGAGTGGAGCCACTCATCTTGGAGAGTTTGATAAGGGACAACAATGTCCGCAAAACGGAGAAATTTCGTGAATTCGTGAATTTAAATTGCACGGTTCTTTTTTGTCGCATATGAACGAAACTGCACGTACAAGTTTTGAACGAAATTTTTTCCCAGAGACGAATTCGGTTCGCACAGATTAACGAACGGATCACGACGAACGATAGGTAGGATTCAGCAACAACGCATTCCTCAAATTGAAATTGTTACGAAACAAAACTTTCGAAAAAAAATAAAAAAAAAAACAAAAATAAAAACCAATTCATAGTTTGTTCACGCGTTCGATGTGATAACCATTAAAAAAACGAATCGGCAAATGAACAAATGAGGAAAAAATAAAAATGAGAAAAAAACTCCATTAATTATATTCGAAATATAAAAAAAATGATATCAACGTCAAACAAATTTATTCACCTTCGCCCACATTTTCTTTTTCTATATATATATATAATATTCGACTCGTATTCATATGTATAACAGCCGATTCGTTTCAAAGCAATGTGATTGTTGCTCATTTCACATAATCCTATGAACTTTTTCTTCGTCGTTTGAGAGACCGGTTAATTACCGTGACTTTTAATTACAGGCAGTGAAATTATCAGATAGAAAAATCTCGTGTAATTGTTTTCAGACTGTTTCAGACTCGTGTATAATCAACGTTGTTCGCTTGTCGTCTATATATTCTCTCTCTTCCTAGATGCAAGAATCAATGCAAATGTCCAGATTATTCATCCTATATATGTGCGACATATCGTTCGGTGTAACCGCGTTATTTCGAAACGCTTTTTTTGATATGTCGGATACGGTTCGAGATCATTGAGCAGAGAAAACCGCGCGATACGCTAGAGCAAAATCGGCGACAAACGCAAAAATAGCTGAATCTCGACCGCATGCTTTTTTCGACGAACACAAAACGCGTACGCGCGTTTGACACGGAGGAAACATACATATCCACATACACGCACACACGCGTCGCACAAGTACATGCTTATATAGGGCATACAAAATGAACGTCGACATACTTTAGATGGCGATCAAACGAAACTCGCGACTGGCGGTTTTGACTTATAGTCAAATCGGATTACTTTGTCTCTCTACAAGCGGTATAAAAAAATGCCCCTGGGATAAATTGGCATTTGAAAAATAAGCTTTAATCAAATTGATTATTATCGGAAAATATCAAATAGATAAAAATAAAGAAATTAATAATTTTTTCTCTTCATAAAAATATATATCTTTCTTTTTTAAATTTGTAAGACTATTTAACAAAAAGATTTTGTAAATTAAAAATTAAAAATGCAGAGTTTCTGCAGAAGTTTAAAAATTTACTAGCATTTTAGGGAATTGCTGTTCAAAAAATATGTTGTTTATTCAAAATTTTGTCAGATTTCTCATTATGATATTTCTCATTATTTCTCATTATACTAGAGTAGTTATTATTTAATTTATTAATTATTTAATTTATATTAGGTTGTTTCTAATGAAAACATAGTAATTCGATTTGATAGACTACGATTCATCATCGAATGCGTGGATCGACAGAGACTCACTGTTAGACTCACAAGACGCTACGTTAAGCATAACCCAACCAATCAATCGCAAAATCCAATTTTAGTGATTGAGCAATAGTATACATTCGTTTGCGATTGATTTTTATGGATTTATCACACAGTCTTATACAATTGATTTCAGTGGATCTGTTGCACATATATAAAATGATCGAGATCTACAAATGTTCTGGATTTATTGTCACAACAAGACATATTTAGAAATGATATTTCCCATTAGAAAAATTTTAACTTTAATATCAAACATTACGAAAATTATTGATTGATTTCGGTTTATTGTCTGAATTTCATAATTCACAATTATTACAAATATAACAATTATTTTTTATCAGTAATGAAACTACTAATAAATAATGGAAAATAATCTGTCATTATATATATATATATATATATATATATATATATATATATATATATATCTACACAATATTGATAAACAATATTGATAAAAAATATGTTACTAAACTGTGTCAAATTGTGTAAAATTAAAAAAATATCAGGCTTTTTTTCATTTATACAGAATAACACAGGAAAATAGATTCGTATCAGTCAAAAGGATTGCAAATTTAATATCAGATACTCGAAAAAAATTGAGATTATCCGCCAACAAGCCACGATCGTGATCAAATCGGGGAACGTGTCATTGTGAGTAAATCCAGAATAGCATCTGCCGTTTATCTGTCCCTCGATCGTTCTCGCGAGGCTTCGTCTCGGATACGAGAGCCACTCGGACCGGGCACTCGAAGCAACAATATAGGCTCACCGGCCCGTAATCGTGAGTTTGTCGACCGAGGCTTCGAGGGATGATTCAATGAGGCTACCTTCCAATCGAGAAAGCATTTTGCCAACGTGCGAGTTTTTCGTCCCGCGGAATAAATAATTTGTCGCTTTTTCTCTTCTTCTTTTTTTATCGAATTGACTAGAAAAAATTCGCGAGATACTTCGTAGCTTATAAGTGTCACCTTTTCACTTGCTGTGTAACTCTATGCGTCATTCTCGTCGTCGCAGTCTTCGCGATCGCCACTTATCATCTCAAGGGGAGTCATCTAACGCGTTTTATCCCGGGAGATCTTACGGAAATCTGCCGCGGTCTTCGACTTTACGGCTTAGCTATGATACAAATGTATTACCCGTCGATATTGTGTTGCACGACCGCCGAGACAATGACGTGACCGGCGTAGCGTATCACTTCCTCGTCTCTGACTTGGTACACGCCGTGTGTGTACACTTCCTGTATGCACTCTGCCTGTGTGCGTGTAACACGCGACATCGCTATCGGTAACGACAACTTCCGGTCGATTAATCGATGCAATCTCTCATTGTTATACAGAGCGTTTCAGAGAAAAAAAAGATCGATACTTTGAAAGTTGATAGCGCCAATCTCCTTGCAAATAAAAAAAAATTTAATAAATGTATATCTAATTTGGAACGATTATTCGCATCGATTTCGCGAGTGGAATCTTCGATTGAAAACTTGAAAAGATGTGTATCATTTCTTATAGTCATGTGAAACTTTATCGTCCGGCATATTTATATATTCTTAAATGTAAACTTTCATAGAAAGTTTAATTAATTATTCAGAATTAATTATTGTTTAATTATTGACAAGAAATATATTTACAAGAAATATCTTTTTATTTGCAACGACAGGCACTATCGCTCCAAACATTGGCCGTTTTTCTCGGGACACCCTGTACACACAAACTAATATTATCGAGCACTAGAAGCAATCCTCACGACAGATACACGTACATATCCAAACGTCTATCAGCTGATTGCACTATACGTACTTGGTGTGACGCACACAAGATTATGTCATTATCATGCACACAATGGGCTGGCCGCTTTGAAGAGTCGCATCACTATAAACGATGCTTGCTCGCAAGTGTGAACACGAACGGCTGGTCTCTTCGAGAGAGAGGAGCCGGTTGTTGTTTTTGTCGTGTCGTCGACGAAGCTCGTGTTAATCGCACGCGATGACCTTAAGTACAGTTTAATTCGAAATCGAACGAAGCGTATACCGACATGATGTACATAGACATGATCCTCGGTGATGCGCCTCTTGTTAGATCGAGTAACGAGTTAACCACGTCGATCTTGCGAACACTCGCTGTGTATCCCTATTGTCTTTTACATGCTTAACGATTCGACTCATATTTCTTTATTAACTTTATATCAATCTTTAGCGATAAGCTAAAGTGTGTTACTCGCGCCTTGTTCATCGGTACCGTGCGATTTGTATCATACCTTCCTGATTGCAGGGTACTATCGTGGTGCCGACTCGAATTCACATCACTGATTAAATGATACCGGGTTGGATAAAATACCGTACCTTCGATTACTATGTACGATTGTGAACTCTGACGTAAATTTCCGCCCGCAACAGCGGAGAATTGTCTCGAGTGTGTCCCTCCGCGCACAATAATGGCGCGCGTTCATCGGTCATCGTCACACTGGTCGCGATCACACTCGAAGCGAGATTTGTCCGACACACATTCTTGCTCCTGTTTTCACTACCGCCCGTCCGGCACTCGCGAGGACGATTCTTTTCATTTTTTTTTTTTTCTTTTAGCAGTCGGTGTCGTCCTCCTGGTGCCTCCTACGCAGTTCCAGGTAACGGTGCCGGGCGTCGCAGTAATGAAGTAGCGGTACCTAGACGTCGGTGCCGGTTCCTTCCTGGTAGCCCTCGTCGGGCGAGCTGCGCGTGGATCCAAGGACGCGTTTTAACGCCGAAACCGGCGGTAGGACCGGGACCCCTTTCTGCCAGACACGCATTTGCTTCGCACCGGGTGGAAACTGCTCGACGATCGGTGCCGCGACCACCGCGAGCTGGTCCTTCGACGGATACGAGCTCACCGGGACGGCGGACGTCCTGCCGCAGGTGGTGTCCCTGGCCTCCCACAGGCAGCTGGAATAGAGCATCTTGCCAGCGTCATCCATCGTCCCGACACGGCTGTAATCGGCGACGCCGTAAGACGCGATATCCTCGGCGGAGCCACGCCGGGTGTCCCTGATAAGATCCGGGTTATCGATCGGCATCAGGGACGTTGTGGACGAGAAACACCCGGCGCCCGGTATCGCCGCCACGGCGGACTGATTCTGATCGTCGAAACGGCTGATGGTGCTGTACTCGGTCTCCTGCACCACAGCCGCTTGCGGTCTCTGCACGTAACTCAGGTGCAACGATGCGGGCGGCTTCGACTCCAGGGCAAACGACGTTGTCTCGATCTCTTCGTGTTTCCTGCGGGTGGTCAAGGTAGCGGACGATGGATTATTGTCGCCTGCGCTGCCGTTGCCGGTACCGTCGCCGGACGTCGTCTCCATCGGCGCCGACGATTTCACGTCCTTCAGCGGCATTCGTCGTAGGCGCACGAATAGGACAAGAATGATCAGTAGGATGATTAATATGAGCACGACTAACGCGGCCGATATACCCGCAATCTGGCCCGAGCCCAGGGTCGACATACCCGCGGTTCTTAGGGACACGTGCAGGGTGAAGTTGGCCTCGACGCTACCGGCGCGGTTTTCGGCGACGCAGTAAAACTCGCTCGAGTCCGCTTCCTGAGCATTGGTGAGGACAAGAGTGCTCCTCTTTCTGAACTGGCCCTCCTCGAAGATGAGAATCTTTTGGTAGCTGCTGAACGCCGACTGATTGGTCAGCAATCGATTGTTCCAGTACCACTTGACCTTCGCGGGCGGTATCGCGCTCACGCGGCACACGATACTGGCATTCTCGCCGATGGTCGCCTCGGCGTAACGGCTGGCTATCAGCAAAACCGGCCGGCAGGCGAAGTCGTCTATATCGAGATCGGTGAAGGCACGCTCGAGCAACTGATGAGGACCGTGACATACAGGTGCCACAAGGGTCGGCACGTTATGCTTGACGAGCCATATTTTCATCTCACGCAGGTGACAATCGCAGGTCCATGGATTATCGTGCAACTCGATGCTGGTGAGTTTCTTGAGCGGGTCAAATGTGCCCGGGTGCAAGGTAGACAATTGATTATTGTTGAGCTTGAGACTCTCAAGCAACTCGAGTCCGATGAGTCCCTTCGACTCGATTTCGACGAGCTGCGTGTACGACAGATCGAGCTTAACTAAATTCGGCGTACTCTTGAACGCGTGTAAGTGAATTTTCTCGAGCGGATTGTACGCGAGTACCAGGTCGCGCAGAAACGGCGTGTCGGTGAAACTCGAACTGGGTACTGCGGTCAGGCGATTGCGGCTGAGATCGAGCTCGACGAGATTCGTGAGGCCGGCCAGTGCCTCGTCGTCGATCTGGTCGATATGGCACTCACGCAAGTAGAGACGCTGCAGATTTGTCAGCTGTACATGTATAAAGAGATTGCTCCGCAGGAGACGGATGTCGTTGTTGCTCATGTCCAGCACCTGGGTCTCCGGATCGATTCCGTCCGGTATGCTGGTCAGGGAGCGATCCACGCACTCCACCGTGCGCTTCCCGCTCTTCCACTTGCACGAACATTGGTTGGCGCACTTGTCGCCGCTAGCTGTTACACCGAGCACCGTTACCGCGTACAGCAGAAACACCGAGACCCCCATGATGGATCGTTATTGTCGTCGTCGTCCTAGCAAACTTTCGGCGTTCCGCGGCTGGACTCCTCTCGCTCTCTCTGTCACGATACCTGTTTCTCCAACGATACTCAGGACTCGTCACTTCAACCGAGAAGCGTCTTCGTCCTCGCGAGAAAGCCTCTCGGGACTGATCTTGCGCCCATCCTTCTCTTCTTCGTCTCCTCGCGCTTTATCGCACTTGTATCTTTCCCTGTCTCTTTTCCTCTCTTTTTCTATTTTTTACATTCAATTCTCCTTTCGCTGGCTAAAGTTCCTTACATCTCGCTTCAAAGTTTATACGAATCCACACCATTCTCCGGAATCCTCGTTACATAGCGTGTCGAATCACGAGAGGGAGCAAAATTGAACGAATCCGTCTCGTCCATTCGTGACTCCTTCTCTAGCATCCCTCTACAGACTATATATATTCACTTGACTCTTTCGCTCTCGCTTCACGAGCAGCACACTCGTTCGGCGAGCCCAAACGGCGTCCCGAGGATGCCTTTTCAGGTTTTCGATCAACCACTCTATCAAGTATCCATTAGCGGTATCACACGTGCGCATACGCGACTAGTACATACGACGTCACTACTAGACAGACAAGGCGAGTCGTCGCCGTTGTTCTTACGTAAATCTATGTTCATCAACATGCACTCGCGCGTCGACCCCGACGAGAAGCTCCTTGACGCCTTCGCCACGTCTCGTATCGACTGTAACCGCACCACTACTACCAGCGGCAGCAGCACCACCACCACCACCACCACCGCCGCTGCTACCACCGGCCACCACTCACATCACCGACCGTAGCCGCTGCTGCTACAGAGACACCGCTGACACCCGAATTTTCACGAGATACCCCGTCGTACTATCGCTCGAGCGTAACGTTGCTCCCGTTGCGCGAGGGGCCAACGTACGAGGGTTCGCGAGAAACTCCCCGATAGGGGTGCCGTTTCTCTCCCCTGCCACCTTGGTACCTTCTCTCTCGCCCTTCCTTGCCCTGTCGACCCTCTGTCGCTTCTTCTATCTATCGCACACGCGCGCGCGCATTTCCTCGCTCAGGGGAAAAAACTATGGTTACGGCGACGCCAGCGACGCTCAACGTCGTCGTCGTTGTTAAAATGCGAGACTGCGAAACGCCCGGCAGCGAAAGCACCGGAGAGACACCCTCTCGCGCGGCTTTCCTCTCCTCGTATCTTCATCTCGCGTCGTTCTCTCCTCCGTCCGTCCGTACGTATGTACCCCGCTACTATCCGCGCCCCGCTGCACACGCTAGAGCTGCTCGGGAGGGAAAACGCCAACGCGAAGTAGGGCGCACCCTTCTTCCGTTCTCGCTACAGGGTGGCTGGAGGTACTAGACTAACGGCAAGAGTATCTCCTCGAATATATAACGATTAGAAATTCGAATCATTTAAGTTAGGAATATCAAGAATCTTAAGACAGTGAAATTTAGGACGAAAGAATTTTCATTCGACGTTTTATTACCACGTCAAAAGTCAAACATTCTAAACGGGAATAATCCTCAAAGAAATTTTCATCAAGAGTCAACTTTGGAAGTTTGATGTAGAGCGCAACTTCATTGTAATGATTCGAATTTTCGGCGACACCCTATATGTCGAATATATATACACGCACATGTACACATACGACCACCGTGATTCGAGTCTATATCACCCCTTATACCCCACAACCATGGCGCGCGTACGCTCGCAAACGTCCCGACATCCACCTTCTCCATCTTGCTTTCTCTCTTTCTCGTTGCTACCCTACATCTCTCTCTTCTCTCCCCCACATACTCTCTCTTCCTCTCTCTCTCCATATATATATGTATATGTATATATATACCTACGGCTACTCTCTCTGTAACAAATCCCCTCTTTCAACCCCCGGCGGCGGTGGTCGTGCGCTCTCCGCGGCAAGTCGAATCGGGAGCGTTTCCACCTCCTACCAACGGTCGGAGGGAAACCCCACCCTGGTTGCGGGGAGGAGGGGACGCTTTCTATCCCTAAACGGGTATGACGAGGGGCGCGCGCATATCGTAGTCGTCGCTATATTCGCCGCCGCTCCACTACCCTCCACTACCCCTCTCGAGCTCGCCGCGAACGTGCCTCGGCGCTTTGCGTCTCTTTATCCTCGGGAACTTTCCTTCCCCCTCGTTCCATCCCGTTTTGCCGATCTCGCTGCCGAATCTCGCACTCTCGACATATCGAATGCTATGTCACACACATACAGCCGGGAGATATACGGGCTATTTCGCAAAGTGGTTAAATGCACTGCCAGATTACGGGGTGGAGGACGGCGTTTCTGGCGCCCGATGCCGTCGTCGACCCGGCTACGATATTCGGCTGCGGAATCGTAGAATTCCACCGTAGAATTCCGTCCGCGTGGCAGACGACTCGAGATCTCTTAAGTTCTCCCGTATTCCGGTCGCATACTCGCCGCTAAACGCATGCCTTCCGGGTCCTCGGATTATACAAATAAGCGCGGCGATTCCTTGAACATCAATTATGAAGTGATTCAATTGTCCTTCTGTCGTCTTCAACGGTTCGGTATTTAGGGGACAGACTACACAATACAACTATGTTCGCATTCAATCTTGGAGACGCGAAAAATAAGATATTTTCAGTAATGAATTTCCAGAGAAAGCAACGCGCGTACAAAAATAAGTATTTTTTTTATTCATCATTTATGAAAATTGAAAACACCCTATTCTTTCGTATCTCGAGACTCGGGCAACATACTTCACCGAATTGACAGACGTCTTAGGGAGGGTCGTAGAGCTTACACTTCAATGGCCATGCTTAGCGCTAAATGTGGCAGTGGATAGAGGCGAGAATACGGGTCAAAGTATTTTTCGTTTCTTTATTCCGCCGTCTTTTCCCAGCATCCTTGTATCTTTCTCCTTCACTATCGTCGCATTGTCGTCGCCTATATATTCGAGTCGGTAGGATGTGTGTGGCATACGGACTCCCTCGACCGTGCAAATCTCTCTTTCTCTGTCTTCCCCTCTGCCCTTTTCTTCCCATTCTCCAGAGTCTCGATCCTGCAAACGACTCGTGGAAAAATAATTCAGAAAATGAGAGAGCCACGACCGTAGAAGAATGGGATCCGGGTGAGGGCAAGAGAGATGGGAGAGAAAGAGGCGGTTAGATTTGGCTACGCAGTGAGAAGAATGACACCTTGGCAGTGGTGAACGAGGTGGAGAAGTGACTCGTAGTATGTCGTGTACAAATTCTCCCTGGAGGACCTCTTAGACCTAATTGGCCGTCCGAATCGATATCTGCCCGTCCGTTGTCGGCAAAATTGCGACGGTATCCCTCTTTCTCTCTCTTTTCTCTTTTAAAAAAAAAGAAAAGGGCGATTCAAAGTGACGAGAAAATAAATCTTACGGAATTGGTCTGGAAGAGAATTGTATAAAATTGCGCCTTTTCCGTCGTTTTATTTAGTGTTTTATAAAAATGGAGTCGACCGCGCTATTTGTTTAAAAAATAATTGTGTACAATATTGATGTAAACAATTTAAATTGTCGACTAAGATATGCTTGAAAAATAATCACGGATAAATGTAAATATACTTTTCATCAAAATTTGATTTTTTCTTTACAGATAAGAAAAATTGAAAAGAGCTTTAATCAGATTCTTTAATATGTTAATTAATGCGATGATTATTTTCAGGAAAAATTTTTGGGAAAAGCTCAAAAATATACTTTAAAATAATTTCTACTTTTCTTAAATTAAAACAATAAAGAAAACGACTTTACAAATTACACGAGGATGTAAAAATATATAGGCTCTATCTATTTTTGGTATGTTCATTGAGATTAAAAATACTATTAGATTATGCAAGAGCAAATCTCACTTTCGTTATTTTTTACGATTCGGTGATCAGAGAAAGAACATATCGTATCATATACATTCATATACACACACAAATTGCATTCTCAAGTTTTTGTATACGATAATAAATAATTTTCAACTGATACTTTATAAAAACGAAAAGTAAAAATAAGACAACGTAAAGGCGAGTCTTCCTTGACTGTATCGATGTTAGAGTTAACAAGGATGGATTTGCAAACGCTAGGGAGATAAGAGAGAAAGATGATAACGCATCTTTTGCTCACATGATGCATTCGACGATGCCGTGTGGTAGCACGGCCGAACGACGCTATTTAAGCGACTACTTAAAATCAATAACGCCCGACATTTATATCGTACGCCAAGGGTCTGACAGCATAATTCTTATGCCTTCTTCTCCGCCTTCTCTCTCGTATTTCGCATTCGCGAAAATTCGGAGCGTTTCCCTTGCGTTGCAAGAGCCAGAGAATCGCGAAGAGCTAGAGAAGCTTATGTTAACTGATACGATCCAACTGGATATTTATCCGATAATATTGAAGTATCAATGTTTCATTTTTGATATTGTACTTTCATATTAATATTTCATTTCTAACATTTCGCGATATTGAAAAATTCCTATATGTATTATATTATGTGTGTGAGTATTCGAAATAACTTTTTTAACAAATTACACAGTAACAAACCTCATATTCAATTAGCCTGTGTTGTTTATATACAATTTATTTTACTATTGTTCTAAAAAAAAAAGTATGATTTATTCTATAAATATATATATATATATATATATATATATATATATATATATATAATTTTTTTTTTTCCTGTATCTTATGATACTTCAATACTTATCGAATATTTTGTCAATGTTATAATATCGGTATCAATATACGATAACATTAGTATCTCTGTTTTAAAACCTATTATATATAATATTATGCTTGTTCCATATAAATTTTTTAAACATGAATCTAAAAGAAAATGCATTGTACTTCATCTCGTAATAAATTAATGTGATCCGTATATACGTATATGTACATATATACATATAAGGACAACAGTATCTCGATATAAATGCGCACTTTATATAATCTGCTTGTGCATTAGCTCTAATAATCCTTAAATATCTATAAAACATATTGCAGATTATAATAAAATTCATGTTTATGTTATTCCAAGATATAAGTATATGATAAAGATAGATCAATAAAAGCTTTATGAAAGAAATCAGATACATCTACAAAGAAAATGCAATCATTCTCTCTCTTATAACGATACTATTATATCTATTACAGATATCAGTATCTTGCAAATGATTATATATCGCATTACAATTCAAAACAAATAAGATAAGAATCTTTTTCATAACGCCTGAAATAGATTTCATAACGGATCAATTAAAATGTTTCTTTTCAAACTAGTAATTATGGAATTTCAAGCAAAATCATTCATATCGTAATTTTAGAAATTCATTTTTTTGTCTTATATATCTAATAATCCTATTGAACACCATATAAAATAGCGTTATTTTACAGCAGAGAAAGTTTATAATCGAGAGTACTCTTTATAGGATTTATGACATAAAAAAAGATATATCTTGTACTGAAACAGAATTTTTTTATTAAGGAACGACAGAGAGAGTTCTGCTGTTTTGTCCCCTTAGAAAACGAAATTGACATACGATTTATTAGATTGGGTTTGAGCTAACAGAATGGCAAAGATAAATAAAAAAAAAATGTTGTTTTCATATATATAGTCGTGCGCAAACCCATCTTTACAATTTGGAAAAAGAAAAACGATAACATTGCTGGAACACGGAACAGCTTGTAATTTTTGTATTATGCAAATAGTTTTCGAAATAATAACAGATAACGAGAATAATTGTCTTGACAAATGCACATTAAAAATCAGAAATACAGAATATTTCATTTGCGCACAATTACGCCTAAGTCTCGAGTTATTTGGACACTGTATAACACTGCGAAATCATTTTGCAATCATAATATATTCTTTTTATAAATTGCGTATGCGATTTTAATTATTTCAATTATAAAATACAGACGCAAGGAAGTTAGTTGCAGAACATAAAAGCCGCGCAAGAAAAATTTCGCAATGTTACGCCATTTGTATTTACGAACAACCAAAACCCTCAAATTTTAACGTCACAACATAAATCGATGTCCGTTATATAATGTCGAAAATTTTCTTCGTTCATATTTCGTTATTAATATATAGCAGTAATATTAATAATAATAACAAAAGGATATCATATAATACGCTGTTCGGATATGCCGTTTGAGCTAGAATTGGTTCCGCAATTTAATATAAACACAAGTACATAATAAGTTCTTTAACAAAACAGTAAAGTATGGGTGTAGTCGATAAACTGATATTGTTTTATATTTCAAACGAATTATACTCTTTTTTTTTTGTTTTTTTTTTGTTTTTCTTCTTTTTTGTGTTTCACATATGTATTGGAGATCTAATTCCAATACCATTAAGATCGAGCTGCGTATGTTATTCGAACGCGGAAAGATTGTTTGTCTGGCCGCTTAAATTTCCACGATGCGATCGATTCTTATTTCGTTTGTTGAGAATGTGTTTGCACGCAGCTCGCCATATTAACCAATGGAAATATAAATTCAGACGAAGATACGAGATCTATATACGATGTTCTGGTTAGAGAGCTCGTTCTCAAGATGTTCCCCTTCACTTTTACGATTTAATAAATCGTAGATATTAAGAAATAAGATTTACTGCCTCCCCTAGATGATCGAGGAGCACCCTCCGCATTCTCGCATGCACCCGGATGTTGACACATTTACTTCCGAAATACGTATTTCTACGTCGTACGAATTACATTCGCTTACTTTCATATCACAAGGGCATCCTTGTTATATATCCAAGATAAGTTACTGGAACCACACTTGGAGATATTTCATGAGCCAGACTAGAAGACGTGGTAATAAATCAAATACCAAAATAAAAAAAATTTACTTTGGCGACTTGCAAAATATGTCACGGAAACGTATATTTGTTAACTTATCTTTCAATATGTTTTAGAGAAGGATATGCGTTTGCAATTTGAAATATAAGAACGGCAAATTACCACGTTCTTCAGTCTGTTCATGTAACATTGCTAATCAATGTTTCCTCTTCTTCTTTTTTTTGTATTTTTAAGCCCACTTTTTTCTAAGTTTATATATTCACTTCGCATAAACATCATTCTTTAGAAAGAGTCAAATAAAGCACGTAATTTCATGTATATCAATAAACAAACGTAATATCTTTTCTCGTTTGCATAAAAAATATATATGTATATATATATATTTAAATATCATATTCCAAGGTAAATAGGAATTTAAATTTGAAAATAATTTTGACTAGAAAATTCATAATCGCTAAAATGTCTGTAAGATTTTAAATGAAAAGATTAAATCTTTATTAGCACGGGCTAGTTGACTCTTTCAAAAGTTGAATAAAATACATTTCGCAAAATAGATTCCATAAAATGGATCTATCGATGTTTCCAATTACAGCGCAATAAGACTAAGTTTTTCCCCCCCTTAGTCTCTGTAAGATTGCCAAAAAAAATTTCGAAATTGTTGTAAGCAAAATAAGAATAATAGAAGAAGCTAACAGAATAAAAGCAGATTTTCGTAGTTTGCAAACGGGAACGTTTCGAAGATTGTAATGGCGAAAGAATTAGTTCCATTAAACCCCATTTGCGTTTGTATATTAAGTACATATAATGTCAATTCGGAAATAGAAGAAAGGATATATGATCAAAATATTATCTTTTGCTTCAACGAGAGATAAGAATAATCTACCAGATAACAATGATGACGTATAATAAAGACTTACACTATGTAATAAACTTAACTATATGATAAAGACTTCGAACAATCAGAGTAAATTGAAAAATTGACAATTATATATTTGCTACGATTTGATAATTTATGAAATTTTTGTGTCAGCATTATCATAAAAATATTGTAATCGTAGTACTCTTTAAATGCATGAATAATTATATAGTTTTTCTTAGGCAACCAAAATTTTGATTTTATTATAGTGTTTTTTTTTTGTAAGTAAAACAGTTAAAAGTATATTATTATTGGATTTATTTTTCCAATTAGAGAAATTAACAAATGTAATCCAATGAACTGATTTAGAAAATTTTAAGAAATGGATATAAGCGTGTATCCATGACATTGCACATTATATAAAATCTTGTGATCCACGCGAATATCGGAAAGAAAATTTAAGAAATTAAGAGAAATGCGATGTGACAATAGATACAGGGCTGACATATTAACAATTTTCATTTCTGAAATGAATATACAAATTGACAGCGAATTGGCAAAAATATATTACATTTTAATTCGCTGCATATACGTTTACGTTATCTGATTTTTTTCTTCCAATACGTTTTCTAATATGCGATTTTATTGATCAAATAATAATATCGCCCCGTATTGATTTAATTAATCAAAATTGCATATATTACATCATAATCTAATATATAGGGTGTAACAGTCATGCGAAGAAGTATTTACAATATTTTTTTTACTCGAGCTATAGTTGTCACTTTATTCTTTCTTCCACACTGTTTTAATGTTTTTACATTCGTAATTTTATATGTATTGTACACTATATGTTTTATATATGTGAAAACGTTAAAACAATGTGAAAAAAAGAATAAAAAGTTATATTTCACATATATGACTTTAAAACTTGTATTTCTGAAAATTCAATTATAGATTTTAGAATCGCAAATGGAATATTTCGTCTTGTTTACATTTTTATTCGTCATATTGCGATAATTATAGCTCGAATAAAAAAATCATAAAGAACTTTCGATTTGAATTTGATTTGATCTGTAGAATTGTTTTAAATACTCGTATGACTGTTACACTCTGTATATTATGGTTCTCCATTTTATTATCTCGTTCAAGCAGAAGATAATAAGATTTTGACCAGAGAGAGGACATCGGATTAACATTATATGTATATCACCAAAAATTGGCAAAATTCTCACAGTATTAACACTGACTTTTCAATCTGTATTCAATAGATTTTTGTCTGCCAATATAGCAGTCACAACAGCAGCTAAATCGTGGTTAAAAGTTTTGTCAAATCATAGATTATCGAAAAAACAAATAAAGTAAATTAAGATCGAAAGACATACATATCGATTATAAGCACAGCAAGTCGTACCCAAACATTTTAATTATTGTGTCACTTTTCATTTTAATATTCTTTTTGTTATTATATGCAACTACGAATGTAAGAAAACAGCTAGAATAATAGAGCGTATCAGAGCATATCTGGGTTCGAATTTCCAAGATAATAGCATAAATAAATAATAAACAAAAATGATAATCGCGAGCTTCATTTAACGATTTTCCTTTCAAAGATATCGATAAGTATGTGATTTATGAAATATATAATATTAATAGAATCTCCAAAAATCTTCGCGAAATCTTGGATAAACACGTGCAGGAAAACATTATAATGAATATTACAGAATGGCGCAGGTATGTGGAATCGTAATATATGTGTCAAGTTGGTTACGTTTTGATGGAAAAATGCGAAACCAACGAATGAACTACTGTTGCGCCCAATAGTGTCGAAAATTTAGTACTAATTTTAGTTAGCATATGAAGTAACTTATATTTTTGTAGATTAAAATGAATAATCACTTGTCTGAATCAACACTCATCTTCAATGTTCAAACTTTGCAATATCACTTTTCTCTCGCATCTTTTACATGTGTCAGCAATTATTTTATCTCATTACTGTACATCTATTCTACAGTCTCCATGATAAGCTCACAATTACTGACACTGCGCAACTCTAAATACATTTTAAACTGTCTTCATACCGTTAATATTTCATTTAAAGACGATTTGTCTTAAACATGAAATATTTTGGTATCACCTGTATTATCATCTGTACGAATCTCGCATTCATAAACCTAAGTCAAATTGGCTGGTGGGCTTCAAATTATAAATTTACAGTCACGCACAAATAATAAATTTTCCATATGCCTACATATTTCCCTGCACGTATTTATCCGAGAGATCAAAAGAGAACAAAAAAAATTGCAGGAATTAATTACTTATATATCATTTACGACATGAAGTGTAGGCATGTAAAGCTAGGCATATGCGCAAAATCATACGCAATGTAAAAATAGGACGCATAGAGAATCTCGACATAGAATCTCCAAAAATCTTTATGAAGATATAATTCTTAAAGTTATAAGTGAGAATGGTATCATGATTTATATAAGACATTCATTTATCAAATTTAAAGACATCAGTTCAAAAATAGAATTTGTCACAGTATCTAATAATATTGTATTAAAGAAGCAGTTACAATTTTTTTGTAGTATTAATTTTTAAATAAAGGAATGCTTTGTACAAATTCAAATTTTTAATTATTATACACGAAAAAGATGAGAATTTATTTGTAAAACATACTAAGTGTATTAATAAGTGAGCCGAGTCATTATAATTGAGAAGCGAGCTTTAAATTTAATAAAAAATTGAAATCAGTTTAATATTTATTACAAAGTGAAAGGATGTTTAATAGTATTAAGACAAAACACACTGCTAAATGTTTAAGTATTTTATAGAGAAAGAATAAGTACCTCCAAAGAAGATTTTTGAAGATTCTACTCGATATTATCAATAACTTTGGCAATTATCTTATTTTTCATGAGAGATATAATAGTAATGCGCCCTACTCTTACATTGCATATGATTTAATGTGATGTTTAGTTTTACGCATTTACACTCGCTCCCTGCTTCCCATTATTCATTATATAATTTCCATAATTAATCCTTGCAGTTTTTTTTTGTTAAATCTCAGTCTCGATAGAATGCTGTTGCATGATTAAACGTAGACTGTGATTGGACATATACGTTATTATCAGCATCAGAATAGAACCTTTGTTTAATGGAGTCCACCAGCCAGTTGTTTATAAAAAATAATTATATAAAACTAGTCAATTGTACAACCTCTGATTCTCAATCACGGTACTGTAAAAAGAAAATCCAATTGTATTTAAAAAAAAAAAGAAAAGGAAAAAAAAAGCAAATTCTATCAATGAAAGAAAGGCAGGTTAAATATACAGAAAAACAAGATTGTTTTAACATTGACAAGTGATTTGAATTTCAGAGTATGACAATATTGACAGATAGCAAAATCAAGCCATGATCAAATATTACAACTGATATTTAATATTCCAAATTTTATTAGATTGCTAAGAGCAATTTATAGATGTATAAGATCTTATTAAAGTCTAAGGGCAATTTATATGTATATATATGCATGACAGTACAAAAGTAATGAGCATATAGATTAGTATGCTGCACTCAGAGATTGGCCGATTTCTTTTCTCTAAATTATACATGCCCTTTTTCTTCATTGTATTAGGTGAAAACAGAAGCAAAAAAATATTGGAAGAATGAAGCTGTTGTATAAAAATCTTCTATTAAAACGATGTTGTGTGTATTCGCATGTAGTATTTACAATTATGATAAAATGCAATGATTGATTATTATGTTATTCACATATTTGTTTACATATTGTGCATCTTGATAATGGCTTGACTCTGATTTGTTTTAGCTTATGTACATTTAAATGTATTTATATACAAAGAAATGACTCACACCAACATTCGCACGTCGCTTCAATCACTCAGCTCACTTATTACGCATGCTTAGTATGTTTTATTTACAAGTAAACTTTCATCCTTTTCTTGTTTAATACAATGATAATTGAAGTTTTCAATTTCTGTTTGTACAGAGCACTTCTTTATTTAAATCGTTTGCAGCACTGTTTTGTCTTTAATACACTGTTTTGTCTTTCACCCCTTCACTGTGACAAATTTCACTTTCAAACTAAGTTCACTCTTTCCATTGAGTTTGAAGCATAACTATGTATGCTTTACATAAATGAATCACGATCACACATTCTTCTCACTTAAAACTTTTTGAGCGCTTTTTGTAAAGCTTCATTTGCAACAGAGTATCGAAACTACTTGGACACGTTACCTTCTTCCATACTATTATTGTCTTCTGGTCTCGCTACATACAAACTAGGATCTATCACCTTTGGGATAGGTTTAATTTCTGTTCCAAGCTCTTGTTCGATACGGTGTAAATTGAAGCGATCCTCGTACGTGATTAGGTTAATTGCTATACCTAAGTGGCCAAATCTTCCAGATCGGCCGATTCTATGCAGATATGTCTCTGCCATTTTCGGAAAGTCGAAATTAATTACGACATTCACAGCTTGAACATCAATACCGCGGGTAAATAGATCACTGCTCACCTGCAAAAAAAATTGCATTTGAGAATCAAATATTAAGTTTGAATGTTAAACATTATTATAGATAAATTAAATTATGGAATTTATTTTAGTATTTATTTGTATCAGAAAAAAAATGTGTATGTATGTATGTATGTGTGTGTGTGTAATACACTTGTATAAATAAAATTATAGTCACATATATTAATCAACTTACGAGATTTCGGCATAATCCTGCACGGAAATCATGAAACACACGATTGCGGTGCGCCTGCGCCATTTTCGCGTGTATATAATAACAGCAATATCCAAGATCTGTTATTTTTTTAGCCAATAATTCTACGCGTTGCGTCGAATTGCAGAAGATTATGCTTTGCGTTATTTGCAACTATAAATATAATAATACATTTATGAATATCTAAAATTTTTAAAAATACAATGTATTAAATTAAATTAAACATTAAATGCTGTCTTACTTTCGAGAATAACGTGTTAAGGCAGTGAACTTTTTGTCGTTCCTGTACAAAAGCGTAATATTGTGTTACGCCTTTTAAAGTCAACTCTTCCATTAAATTAATCTCATATGGATCTCTCAAGTGTTTCTCCATAAATTGTTTCACAGTCAGAGGAAATGTAGCTGAATACAACAAAATCTGACGTTCATGTGGCAATCTAGAAGCAAAATAATACAACTAATAAATACCATAAATCATGAATCAATGTATAAACAATATGATTATTTTTAATAATTAACGATAATAGCATATTTTAAGCAGTCAAATCATAATATTAGTAAAAAATATCATCAACATGAATCATGAGAATAATAATTAGAAAAAATAGCACAAATCTAAATCTAAATTTTGATCAAGAATCAATAGGCGCGTTTAGCAAAGAAGATCACTAATGATAATCGTTTAGCCCTTATTTTTAGATTCAGTAAATCAGCGTTACAGATTATGGCACACATTATCTCTACTGAATGCCACCAATAAAAGTATCATTGATTGATCAGTTTAGGGCTTCTGGAGAAATATGAAATGACGAAATATATCCATTCAAAAATTCATTTTAAAACAATTATACAAAATATATTGCATTTAAATTATAAATAATCAATGTTAATTTTATTCAAAATGCTTAAATTTAAAATCTGATTGAGATGGATAAAAATAAAAAAAATCTATGTATATTTAAATATTTATATCTTCCAATTTTTTTTTATAATTCTTTTTTTTACAAACCTTGATATGACATGATCCAACATTCCTTTGAAGTCTTGTGACAGCAGTTTGTCTGCTTCATCTAAAACTAAAATTTTACAATGCTCCATATTTGCCACATTCTTATCCATTAGATCAAGAATCCTTCCTGGCGTTGCAATTATTACTTGTACTGAAAAAATATTACACATTTATTTATTACATGTGCAAACTCATTTAATTCATTTGTAAATTTAAAGTTTTTTTAAATCTTACCTTTTTGATAAATCCTCATAATGTCGTCGCGTAAGTTAGTTCCTCCAGTGGTGACCATAACCTTTATATCCATGTGTTTTGCAAGCTCGATACAAATTTGTGATGTTTGTAATGCTAATTCTCTTGTAGGTACAATCACCAATGCTTGAATTACTTCTCTCCTTGGATCAACCTAAAAGAGCAAATAATATGGTATTAAGAAAAATATAACATCTAAATATTCTTTTTTAGATTAATACAATGATTATATATACTTGTTCCAACACTGGAATTGAATATGCTCCAGTTTTGCCAGTTCCATTTTTTGCTCGTGCCAAGATGTCTTTACCAGAAAGTGCAATGGGAATACTAGCTTCTTGGATTGGTGATGGTTTCTCCCATCCCTTCTCAAAAATCCCCATTAATAACTCGCGTTTTAGGCAAAATTCTTCAAATTCGTTACCACGTGTGTCAGTAACATCCTATAAGAGAGTTATGTTTAAAGGTACATTATTAATCAGAAAAAACCATTTAAACATTCTCATAAATTTTAAACAATAATAAAATTAAGTTTTAAAAGTTAATTGATATCTTTGAAATCTAAATTCGTATGTTAAATTTGAAAATATAATATGAATAATTTATTAATTTTTTAAATAAAACTCTCATAAAACTTACACTTGTTTTAATTCTCTTATCCTTTGGTGGAATTTTTAATTTGGCTTTCCAACCTACATCATCCATTTTATCTATTTCCGATTTGTTAGATAAACCAGAATTCAACATGTGATTAGAGTTTATATGCGTTTCGATCATCATTCTGGAAATATTGCAGTATTTTTTCTGGAAAGAGAAAAAACAAAAAATACCGATAAAAAAAAAAGAAATAATTTGTAGTTATATATCAGCAAGAATTATTACATCTTAATATATTTGTAAAATATACATTTTTAAAAATTCACAAAATTTTGTGCCACTTGTATTATAAATTTATAAAATATCATAATATATAACTCTGAAGCTCTAAAGACAATATTGGAAAGCATTTACCAAGTTTTTATGTTAACATCTGAATAGAGAGCCAGGAGAACAAGACCAAACAAAATTGACCTACAATGACTGTATGCCTATAGGTAGTGTTCCGTTATAAATACATTCGAATGTGCTAAGTGTTTTTGCATGTTTGGATGTACAAGAGAGGCATATGAATACTTTTCTAAATAATACAGTTAACTATATTACAAAAAAATTCGATTTCTTTATCCTTTATAGCTTTCAATAGATGTAAAACTTACATAATTAAACGTAAGAATTTTTTAACAATCATCTAAGATATAATTTGATAGATCGTTATTTTAAGAAAAATCAAAGATAAAATAAACTCTTGCTCCTTAAAAAATTAAGGAAGAAGAAAAAAATCTCATTAGTATTAACAAGGACACTTTTTCCTAAATGTAGGATATAGGACGTTACTTATACAAAGGAACATCCGCATTTTTCTGGAGCTCGTTACATACATCAAAATGAGACAAAATATTTAAACTGTCTCGAATTTGAGCGAACGATTATACGAACGAAGCACGAAACAACAAAGGAAAACAGCAGCGTATATTTGACCAATCACGAGCGTCCATGATTAACGATAGCTGATACGTCGTGCAGGCAAAACAAGTTTGCGAATTTCAAACGCGTAACGTTCGAATCGTCGATAAAGGCAGACTCGTGCAATATGCGTTACAACGAACGCTATATATGTATATGCCGCGATTTATTTCCCGAAAAAATTTTCATGCACACACGCGCACGCACATGCGTACGTAGCTAAGGTCGTCTTCTCCCGAGTAAATCCGTCGGGATCTCCTCCGCGTTTCGAATCGAGCCGTCGTTAACGACGGAAACGAACGCGATACCGTTAGACCCCCGAAGACCAAACTAGACCCTCGGAGACGCGCGGCGCGCGTCGCGACGCGACGCGACGAAAACGTCGACGAGGGGTGCGACGATCGCGGGCGGGCACGTCGCCCGGGACGGGCGACGACGGCGTGTTCCTTACCTCGAAAACGGATGGACGTCGATACCGTGTGTGTGCGCCTCGAGCACTCGGATCGGTGGGAGACAACACGCCAAAATGGCCGTTCTTCCCCCAATGTCAATGGATTTCGTCTCGACTTCTCGCAGCGCCAGTGACTGCGTCGGGGCACCGTAGCCGTTCGCGATGCGATGCTGCGCTTTTTCCTCTTCTACCGCTCTGTCAAGCTCGCCGTTCGCGCTACGGGGGGAAAAAAAAGAGTTCTCGCGTGTGTGACGCGCGTGGGCCCGACTCTCAAAGTCTTTTCGTCTTGTACGTCTCGTGATTTGCGCTTCCGTTTGCAACTCGAAATTCCGAACTAACGCTGACTAATGCACTGCGTCGAATGCCAGCGACGATTATTGCTTGTTCGGTATACACGGTCCGTACCATGAAGGGCCGAAAGGTACCTAGATGCGAAACTAGCACGGTCGGACATTTCAAGGCACGGTTCTCATGCTTCGCGATGATTCGTGGACAATTTGACGGGAGAACACTAGCGTCTCGCGTCAGCCAATCGTGTGACTCTTAATCGCGTCCACGTGGTTCGTACAGATACGTACAGATCAAATCGCGCGCGTCCTCGAAATAATTCAAATTATATATCGAATGTTTTATGGATGGGGAAATGAATGTACGATTTCAATGACATCAAGGCTGTTTCTATATTTCGAATTCAAACGCGTATTATCAATTAAATGATAAAATTAATAAATATAAGATTAAATTTAAATTATGAATTATGTGTATTTGGATTGTGTGTTGCAAAGTCATCGGACAAGTGTTAGAAAAACCGGAAAGATGTAAAAGATAATTGGCATAAAGTTCTCTCAAACAACAGAACATGGCATACATAATGTAATATATTATAAAACTTTATATGTTAATACATCATATTGTTAAGAACAACTTTATTACTTTATATTTACTTTATATTTACTTTATATTATTTACTTATCATATTATTTACTTTATATTACTTCATATTATTTTATATTAACTTTATATTTACGAACAAGGAAATTCCTTCTTTTGGGATATACGATATTTGCGACAAGCCTCCGGACAATGACGTTCCAAGTAACGTCTTTGCGAGAAAGCTTTAAAACATACACCACAGCGCCACTGCCACTGATGATGATTACGTGTCCTTTGATGAGCGCGCAAATTAGAACTGTAAAATATATGACGTAAAAATTAATCAATCGTATAATAATGCCTCTCAATAATTAGATTTTTATTACTATTAAAATTAGATTTTAATTATTTTGAGGCTAGCACTGATGAAATAGGATGAAGTTAGATATATAGAAGATGTCGAATGAAAATAAAAATTTAATTTAAAAATTAAAAATAAAATAAATCTGGAGCAAAACGTTGTTTATAGAATTAAATTTTTAATAAAGAAAAATATCGAGATTTTTAATCTGTCCAAGTTTATATAAGACTAAATAAAATATAAGATAAAACTCGTGAAAGTATACTTTAATACTTATAATCGAGTACATGTCATTAATTCAAGGCTTCTAATTTTAGCGAGATCTTATTCTCGTCTCTGTTTTTTACGTACCGATCTGCAAAAGATTTGTGGCAAACGGGACACTCGAAGGGCCGCTCGCCTGTGTGAAGACGCAAATGACCCTTCAACACCCACGGTCGATCAAAGCTCTTACAGCAATACGGACAATAATGCATCGTTTTATTTCTCTTCCAGGATTGAGCGTTCTCTTTAACAGACGTCTTATTCTCGGCGACGTTGATCGGTTCGTGCTTTTGTTTCGGCATCAGATACAAAGCCTGCGAGAGCGCTTGCGTTTCGGAGCCGTTGATCACGACTTTCTGATTTATCATCCCATTAAGCTTCCCTGGATCCATTATCTTCGTTGCTCTTAATGATTCTTTCGCATTACAGGAGGATTGAGAGGCGTTATCGAGCAATATCGTGGACACTTTCCCTGAATCGATTGTGTTTACAACGTCGATCGGTGGAGCATCCTGGCGAATATTTGCAAAATTTCGATCCGTATTTAAGCCCGTGTCAAACGTGGCATTATTAACTTTATGGAAGCTGTATCGAGTTACAATGGGAAGTCCTGAACAAGTCCAGATATTGCTCGTCTTAGACGTTGCATCCTTTGTATGATTTTTTCGTTTGAGATCCGCGGACGGCGGTAACCATGAAAATTCGGTCTCTATAAAGATCGATTTTCCGTTAGATGCGTAAAGAGGCACAATGCTTATTAGTTTTTAGCTTTAAATATCCTATAAATCTTTATTTATAATTATTTATAATATAATTATATTTTTAAAATATTATTTTAAACGCGAAAGAAAGTAATTGGAAAATAAACAAATTGATCCTTGTAAAACAAATATTTTTTTACTTTGTTATTAGTTATATATAGATCATAATGTATTGTCATAATATTAGTTATCCAAAATGCTTGAAAGGTCTATACAAATTCATAAATATTTCTTGATATCCATTGAAAATAATCATGTACAATAAAAATTAAAAAATAAATTTTAAACATTTTTATTTATTGATTAATATCTTCAAAAAATTTTATTATTAAAATATCGATAATAATCAAAATGATCCATATGTAATTTTTAAAAATTAAATAAAGTCGATATAGAAACTTATTTTACACAAAATTTTTATTCCTCATTGAGATTTCTTAATCAAATAATATAAAAATTTCATATAATATAAAATAAATATAAAAGTTTAAGAACTCGTTTTTTATCTCTAATGAAGAAAAATTAATTTTTTCTCTCTAATAATAAATAATTAAAAATTATAATCGTATATATATTATGCATATATAATATCTACATAATGTTATAAATATTTATACAATTTATAAAAAAAACTTTTAGTGTGTTTCCTTTGATAATGAATTTATAGCCCTTGGAAATATCACGCGAAAATAGGAGATAAATGGCATGATCAGTAAGAAGAGTGTTTATTATTGTGAGAATAGCCAAGGTTGAAGTAACGGTCACACAGACATTTTATAATTTTAGAATTGGTATATGTCAAGATATCCATAACCATAGATGAGATTTGTCTTTCCGTTCGTGCATGTATTAGGACCGAATCGTAATGATATACTGGGAAAGATACTGTAAAAAAAAGTATAAATACCTTCGTTTGAATCATCTGTTCTATGGTATCGTACCATTGACTTTATCAAACAACGTGGCATTCTTCTTGAGATAATAAACTGGACCTGCCTATTATTTATAAAGAATGTTAAACTGCTAACTACAACAGCAATATAGTAGTGCCGTGTATTCCACCGGCATTTGTTTTTCGCCAAGCAGTGGCGTATTATTCAATGATTGTTAAAGTACTTGATAAATAATTAGAATGTTAATATATAGTATATATATAATAAATATATAGTAAATAATATATAATAAATATATAGTATATAATATATATATATATATATAAGTATATAATATATAATAAATATATAGTAATTAATATATAGTAATTCTCTTTTTTCTTTATAAATTATTCTCTCTTTTTCGTATTACTATTAACAAATTATGATCTTTTTTTGCTAACATTCTAACGAGAAGATACAATTAAATCATATAATTTAGATAATACATTTGTAAAATGAAAAAATTAATATGTAATGTAATCAGAAATATTGCTTCTACCACATGATATTCAGTGAATTTAAATTTATGATTTTTAAATATTACAGAACATTTATTATTATAATTCGATTTTTATATATATATTTTCATATATCCAATTTCTGACAAAAGAAATATCTAGTAGAATTTACATATTAAGAATATTTTGTCATGTGTCTATTTACGAGATTTCCATAACTTTCCTATTGGTCGAGAGACGACCTTTAGTCTCTTGATAACATTCGTAATGGAAACAAGGATATGAAGAAACCTTGAATTTGAAGCAAGCGTCTCAGAATCGGTTCGTCTATCGTCGCGATCAGGTCAAAACGTCTATCTCTTTTCTCTTCTTCATAAATATAAAAAATACGTGAACATTACATGTGTACATAAGAAGTTTCATTTATCATGGTGAGTTTTTTCAAAATACATTTTTATCTTATTGAACTTATATGATGCAACTTTCTTTTCTTCTAATATAAATGCTTCAAGTTATGTATATATATATATATATATATATATATATATATATATATATAATTTATGATTAAATGCAACAACTTTTGTAATTTAATTACATTTATATTTTATACAATATTTTAATTAATTTAATCATACATAAAAGATATTTTTAAATCTATTTTTTATACTCATTGTAGGTCTAAATACTATCCTACATATAGATATTTTATTCACACATATATACAAATTTTACATACACACACACACACATATAACGATATATATGTGCATATTATTGTCCAATGTTTTTTTCGATAATATTTTACTTATTGCGAATATAAAGTGTAAAGAAAATATTAACAAATAGCTTGACTTGAAAAAAAATTACATTAGCTTAATTAAATTTTAATTACTTTTAAATATATTTTCTTATATAAATAAATTAAATTGAAATAAATTATAATATGAAATATATAGGGTGAGTCAATTAAGACCGACACTCCAAATAACTTCTACAATTTTAATGATAGGAAAAAATGTTTGAAGTAAAAATTGATTGTTATCATTTTTGAGGAAAATGTTCCTCATAACATGATTGCCTCCTTGATAACAAGCAATTTTTACTTCAAACATTTTTTTCTATCACTAAAATTGTAATAGTTATTCGGATGGCCGTCTTAAGTGACTTACTCTGTGTATATATATATATATATATATATATACACACACACATATACAGGGTGTTTCTGAATAAGTGCGAAAAATTTTAAGAGATAATTCTTTGTCGAGAATTAAGAGAGGTTTTTCATATAAACATATACCCCTACATCCCTCCCCGAAGAGTTACACACATTCCTCCAAAAAAGGAGATAAAAATGAAGTTTTTATTTTTTTAAATATATATATATATATATCAATTTATATCGAAAATTTTGGATAATAAGATGTATATATACGATATATTTACAATATATTTGAATTTTTAAATAAATTTGTACAACAGCTAAGTACACCAGCTACTTATATTTTAATTCTGCTTTCATTTCAAAAAGTGCGTAATAAATATGCATATTTATATATTTGAAAATATACGTATATATATTTATATAATATCATCAGTGAAATAATAGTTGGGAAAGAATGTGACTTATTTACAAAATAAAATTTTGACGTTTTCTTTTGTAGATGATGCCACGTATTGTGGGCTTGCTTATGTTTAGTTCCTTGTATTTTTATTGTTATGGCTGGTATGGTAAGTTAATATCCCCGTTTTAGTTTAGAAAAATTTATATTTATGAATAAATTTTTAATATACATTTTTGTGCTCTAAGCAGATGAGTCTTATTTAGAGGAATTCTCTAGGGAACACTGCGATAAACCTGAGTGGTTTCAATGTGATAGTGGCCAGTGCGTAGCATTTATATATCAATGCGATGGAGATAGAGATTGTTGGGATGGATCAGATGAAAAAAACTGTAACAAAAATTTTACTGTGAGTATTATATAACTCATATAAATTTTATTTTTTGTGCCACGTATCTTCTAATTTTTATTTACTTTAAATTTCTGAAAATGTTTCTTAATTTATCATGTTTGAATAGTTTTTATATACTACTTGCAATTAGATTACATGTATATTTTTAATACATCACAATCTCTTATCTTAAAATTTGAAACAGTTTCATAAAAATCCTTATTATTTTATCTGTAGACTACATATTCGTTATTTATCTAATCATATTCTTTATCCAAAAATATAGTAAAATTTATTCTTTTCAAATATTTCGCAATAATAATTACTTATATAAAAAAAAAAAAAAAAAAAATATATATATATATATATATATATATATATATATATGTATATATACAGAGTACGGATAATTTTTGACTTATCCTCGTTCATGACATAATATTAAATTAAAGAAAATATAGACAACAGCATTTATTTTCTAAATTTTATTCGGATATATAACTTAAGTGAATTTTATAAATGTTGCAAATGTTACTTTTACAAACAAAGCTATTGTTTTAATGATATGAAAATTGAACTTTCTGTTGTTAAAAATATAGAGAATATATATATATATATATATATATATATATATATATATATATATTGTTATTCTCTCTTTTATTTATCAATAGAAAGTTCAATTTTCGTTATCATTAAAATAATAGTTTTGTTTGCAAAAGTGATATTTGCAACATTTATAAAATTCGCCTAAATTATGTGTCTGAATAAAATTTAGAAAATAAATATTGTCTATATTTTCTTTAATTTAATGTCCTGAACGAAGATAAATTAAAATTATCCGTATTCTACTTTTACAATTTATTAAGACTACAGTGGAGAACTTATAGGCATATCATTTTATATATTCTACTTGTTTTTCAATGTATTTGGTCCAGTGTTTCACAAATTTGTTTAAGCCTTCAGAAATAAGGATTGCGATATCAGCCATGCATGCACATCACGTGTTTCACATATTAGTGACATAGGAACTCAACGATCTATTGTTGCTTATACAGTTGAAATACTTCAAAATTTGGAATTTGAAGTTGACCACCTATCATATAGTTTTAATCTTGTTCCTTCACATATCATCCTTCACTTATCATCTCTTTGGTTCACTCAAAAAAGCTTTAAGAAATTGTCTATGACCAAAGCGGATGTGCCAAGACTTTAAACTTCAGTTTTTAAAATATTTTAATTGTATAAGCTGTAACAGGTGGTCAATTTTCCATAGACCAACACGTGAAAGACATAGTGGCAAACAACACAAAAATATTTTTTTGAGACATAAACAAACTGGAATGCTCGACCAAATGTATTAAAAAAGGGGATTATGTGGAAAAATAATGTCTGTAAAGAGTTCTTTATTATTGTTGTAATAAACTGTAAAAATAGAATGTAGAGATAATTTTTGATATATCTTTATATATTATAATAAGTAAGTATACAACGATATAATATCAAATAAAATAGTTTCTTTCTGTGCTTTCAGATTTCATATCCTCACTACATAATATGCGCCACAAATGAATTTAAATGCAAAAATAAAGATTGTATACCGGAAGGGAAGTTCTGTGATACAGTAAAGGATTGCAGTGATGGAAGCGACGAGTATGATGGTTGCGTAAATGAGGTGAATAAATTGACATCATTTTTTTGTGCGTTATCATGTAGCATTTATCTATTTATCATATTTGTTTTGCATTTTTGTAATTATAATATATTTTAACTTTATTTTTATCGCAACAGTTAAAATGCGATGACAAATTTCGATGTCAAGATAAACATTGTATAAGGAAAGATTGGGTTTGTGATAATAGAAAGGATTGTCCCGATGGCAGCGATGAAAGCAATTGCGGTAAGAGAGAGAATTTGTATAAATATAAATTATTAATGATATAATAGAAATATAAAGATTAAGTCTTGCTATCCAAAAGAAAATTTTTTTTAAATGCTATATTTTTTTAGACAATAAGACGTTATCTGCAAGTGATTGTAAAAATGCATATGATCGATTCTTATGCTTAAATGAACGATGCATATCTCTTAATGCAGTGTGTGATGAAAAAAACGATTGTGGCGATGGATCAGATGAAGATCACCGTTGTAAGTATGATATATTAATATAGTTTTAATTATTGCTTTTATTGTATATATTATTTATTATTTATATGTTATATATTATTTATTATATATTATATATTATATATATATATATATATATATATATATATATATAAAGAGAGAGAGAGAGAGAAAGAAAGAGAGAGAGCCTTCTAATACTTAACATTTCTTAACATGTAATGTAATCATAATTTGTTATAAAATTTTTTATTAATTAACTTTTTTTCTTTTTTTCAGGTAAAATACCTTGCACATTGTTAAATTGCAGTGACAATTGCAAACAAACACCTGATGGACCTAAATGTATCTGCAAACCAGGTTATAAAATTCAAGATACAATCACTTGTATAGGTAAATTTCTGATGAACAAAAGCAATAATCGTACGTGGATTATAGCGAAGATTATTTAACAATTTTTTATAGATATCGATGAATGTCAGATTTATGGCATATGCGATCAAGGATGCGTCAATACGGTAGGATCGTATAAATGTACCTGCGAAACAGGTTACTTCATGCAAGATGATATGAAAACATGCAAAGCTACGACAAACAATGGTGAACTAATTTACATATACAAGTGATAGGACAAATATTGATTTATATTAGATTTTATAAAAGTACGAATTTTTTAACTGAAATTTAGGTGGCGAGGCTACGTTGATGTTCTCTATAACAACGGAGGTTCGCGCAATATATCTCGATTCTAAAATATATTTTACAGCTGCGAAAAACTTAAGTCATGTTTCCAGTATCGCTGTAAATGGAGATTACATCTATTGTTCGAACCGTTTTAAAGATTTCCAAACAATTGTAGCGAGCACTATTATTGAAGGAAAACAAGAAGCCATTGTTACACAAGGTAAGTGCTTTATTAATAATTAAGTTTTTGCAAAGTATTCATAGAAATAATTTTCATAGTATATATCATAGTATATATCATAGTATATATTAATAATTAGTAGTATATATTAATTAGTAGTATATATTATTTTAGAAAATAATTTTTTAAACATTTAATTTTTTTCTCAAAGTAAAATAAAAGATATGATTATTTTATTTGTTAACTCACACACACACATAATTAAAAAAAGCGAGCTAATTAAAAATATAATAATAACATATAAGATATTATAATAAAAATATAAGAAGAATAAATATGATAGACTAAATATCATGTGTTTCTTTTTATCAAATAATTATTTGGTAAACCTTTACTTTAACTTACCCATCTCCAATGACTTTGACCTTGACCTATGTTGTCAAGGTCACTACCCTGAATGACCTCCAAAAAGTTTTAGCCATCGGTCATTGTTTATTAAAAAGTTAAGGTTAAAAAGTTAAGGTCAAAGTCAAGGTTAAAGTCATTAGAGGTGAGTAAGTTAAAGCAAAGATTTACCAATTATTTATATATCTGAAAAATTACAAATAATTTTTTTATTATATGTTCCAAATTTTACGTATTTTTTTTATAAATAAGGTTTGGACTCGGTATCGGGAATAGCCGTGGATTGGATTACGGGTAATATATATTTTACCGATGATGGTAACAAGCATATCGGGATTTGTAACGCTAATGGCACGTATTGTACCATATTGATAAGTGAGCAATCTAAACCGCGAGGAATCGTTCTATTACCAATTAAAGGGTAACTATATTTATCATAAAATTATATATTCAAATTCCTATTATAAATAAATTATATAAATAATGAATGGGATTATATATATACTAATACGAAAATATTAAGATTATGTATATTTATTTCTATATTTATAGAATAATGTTTTGGTGCGATGTGGGTTTCCCACATATTGGAATAGCTGAAATGGATGGCAAAAACAGTAGCTCATTTATTACTGATAACTTAGAATGGCCCGTCAGTTTAACTATTGACTATCCGAATAATCGTTTATATTGGTTGGAAAAGAAGAAAAATGTAATCGAATCAATACGCTTAGACGGCACCGATCGAAGAGTCAGCGTTTTTATATATTTTTTTCTATTATATAATTAAGATGTAACTTTTAAGATGTAACTAAAACTATAACAGAAAATATTTGTAATTAAATTATTTGCAGGTTGTATTGGACGATATAATCCAATCTCCATATTCTTTGGCGGTTTTCGAAAATAAATTATATTGGAGCGATTGGCACGAAAATACGATACAATCTTGCGATAAATTTACCGGAAAGGATTGGAAAATCATAACTCACACATTAACCAAACCTTATGACATACATATAGATCATTCGGCAATAAAACCCAAAGTATATACATCATTTTTGTTATTATTTTTTTCATTGCAACAGAATCGGTGCGTAAAATCTGTGATTATTAATTTTCAGATTCTAAATCCATGTCATCCTAATCCATGTTCTCAATTATGTATGTTGAATCGAGATAAAGGCTATACATGTGGTTGCACTATAGATAAAGAATTGAAAGCCGATAATCATACGTGTCGAGGTAAATCTGTTGCGAAAAAATCTGTAATTTAAAAAAAGCATATTAGATTTGCAGGACATATTAACATTTGTACAATACATTTATACAAATATGTATATGTGTGTACACGCACATGTTATTTAATATCATATCATGTTTATATGTTAGCAAAGCTTTATTATTACTAAGTTTTATATTTCCAAATTAACATAAATACAATTTCAGAAGTAAAGAAGGAGCAGCACCTTATTATCATCATGGGAAATACATTTATAGATTATTTTCACAACTTTTTGGGAAAGCCAAAAATAACTACGAGTACTACCTCAAGATTTATAACTGCAGCAACTTATGATTCACTTACTGGTATCTTATAAGATTCTTATGAGAAAATTTATAACATTTATAACATTTTTATACTAATTTTTTTTCTTAAAATTAAAATTTATTTAGGCACTATAATTGCAAGTGATAAACATACGAATTATATCATTCGTTATGATCCAAATAGCGGCATTACTGAAAATCTTATACCGTTCAACAATGCAATATTGGGAGGAATAGCATTTGATTATATTGGTAATAATTTATATTTATCGAATAAAGAAGACCAAACTATCGAAGTACATAGCTTGACAACCAAAACGAAGACGGTCTTTTATTTTGAGGATCGACCTTGCAGTATTGTTTTAGCGCCTGAAGAAGGGTATGACATTTCAAATTGTAAGATTAGATTGATTATCAAGGTTTTTATAAAATGATAATATTAATATATAATATAATATTTTGATTATTATAGCATAATGTTCATCGTATTCAATGTAAAATATTCAAGATTATATACACCGTCGTATCGTTTAGAAAAAATGAAAATGAATGGAATCGGCCCGCGAAATTCAATTAACACAATTAGGAATATGGAGTATACAGAAATGTTATTGCATTATGACACAGCTAAAAAAACACTTTTTGTGACTGATTTTGGTGAAATTATGTCATATCAAGCTGAAAGTTTGTATTTTAGCTTATTTGATAAATATTTAAGTTTTGAACCTTGATTCTTAAATTTTTATATGTAAATATATGTATATATGCGTTTATTTTATTAAAAACATATCAAGAATAAACTATATTTTGATAAACTATATTTTACATTTTAAAAATAATATCATGTATTTGTGTATAATATTTAATTATGAAAGGACAAATTTTTTCAAATATTATAGAAATAATATTGAATTTTTAGATCGATATCTCGTTCATAACGGATTCTTTTCACTTGCGAGTATTACAACTGCCGGAGATGATATATTCTGGACGAAACCCGACTCTAATGTATTGTATAGCATAAATTATAAAAGTAATAATAGATTCTTTAACCATGTTGCATTACGTAAGTTTATTTAATCTTTTAATGAATATTAAAAAATATGCATATACATGTATAGAATAATTAATTAGCAAAATAAATACTTGTAGGTATGCCTGTAAGTACAGAAATTCCACTTGTGGTAGCTTTGCACAATATTGTTACACACAAGGAGTACGGTTGTCAAAAAAATAATGGAAATTGTTCACATGTGTGTTTGCCTTCCTCTGCTACTTTATTTGTAAGTGTGTACAAACTTCAGATGTGGCAAACATTCGACGATTATAACACAAACATCTGATATACAATTAAAACATTGTTATTTTGATCATTTCATCTATCTGATGCGATGCTATTTGTCAAAGAAAAGAGGATGTTATGTAATATTTTACGCAATTACTTCCAGATTTGTGCTTGTCCTCCTGGAATGATGCTAAGTGCGAACAATCGTACATGTACCTTGCAGTCTGCGTGTCGTACTGATGAAATCAAATGCAGCGAACATGACATCTGCATAAACCAACATCAGTGGTGCGTTTAACTGATTTTTTCTATATGTATAATCTATAAACAAGTTAAAATAGTAAGTTATATAAATTATCTGAAAACTTACATTTTCTGTATATAATACAATTAATCGATATGAACGATTTATGACATATTAATTTAATTATTCGCGGAATCATGAAAATATGTTATCTTGTATCTCAAATAATTTTTTTAAATAAAAAAAAATTTTAATATTATAATATTAATAGTTTAATAGTTTATGATATTTATAATATGGATGTTTTATAATGTTTTACATTTTTTAAATCTTTTGCTATTTATTTAGGTGCGATGGTAACATGGACTGTCCAAACGGTGAGGATGAAGCGAGCTACTGCGGTGAGTCTGGCATTTGCGAGAAAGATCAATTTATGTGTAAAGATGGTACGTGCATCAATTCAATGGATCGTTGCAATTCGAAGTACGAATGCCCTGATAAATCGGACGAGGAGGATTGTCCTGTGCTGCAGTGCCACAGTGGTAATTAGAAATATAATGACAAATTAATTACACCTGAATAAATTCACGATCTTTTTCTTTGTCGATCGCATCAATTTTACTATAATTATACTTGTATGATCATTTAATTATTTTTTATATCTCTTAGATGAATTTCAATGTCATGATGGAACTTGCATATCGAATTCCTTAGAATGTGATGGGCATAATGATTGTTTTGATTTTTCCGATGAAATAAATAATCATTGCAATGAGCGTACGTGTTCTCCGAATAAATTTATGTGCAAAGATGTGAGAAATTGTATACCAAAGGAATGGGAATGCGACGGAGAGGTGGGTTACAATTATTTATATTTAGTACAACCATAATTTGATTTATTCAGTTACTTGATTTACTAATTTTTCATTTTGTACAACGAATTTTATAATTAATTTAAATATAATAATTATCAAAAATTATTGTGAAAATAAAATGGAAAGAAATAAATAAAATATTGAAATATCTAATTTTTTAAATCAGAATTAATTTTAAAGTTTATTGATTGGTTCTGATCGCAATCTATTAATGTCATTTTATATAATCTTACGTGATCATATTTAAGCGAGATTGCTCGGATGGATCGGATGAACTCGGGGAATGCAGCGTAAACATCTGTGGCGACGGAAAATTAAAATGTAATAATGGTCGTTGCATATCATCTTCATTGAAGTGCAATGGCATCGATGATTGCGGCGATGAGTCTGACGAGAAATATTGTTTGAACGAAAAATCTATTAATTGTACCGATGATAAATATTTATGCTTCAACACTGATATATGTCTCCCGAAGAAAGTAAAGTGAGTGGATTCTTTTAAAATGTATTAGATGATTGCCCTGTGAAAATTTACAAACAAATATTTAAATTCATATACTAATATTTGATCAATTCGTAAAACTATTTTCTGTTCTCTAACAGCATTATTAATTTTAAGTAACAAACTTTGTTGTGCAGACTATCCATTTTTTAAATTCTTACATAAAAGACTATACAATATTAAATATTATTTATACTATTCATACTTGTTTCTATTACAGATGCAACGGTGTTCAAGATTGTCCAAAAAACGACGATGAGCATCATTGCACATATTGTTTCAAGGATGAATTTGCCTGTGATAATGAGAAATGCATTCCGCAGAGCTGGGTATGTGATAAAACCGATGATTGCGGTGACAAATCAGACGAGAAGGACTGTGATGGTAGTAAGTGGAGGAAGGTCAATGTTAACACATCAAACATGTGTGAAGAATTTAAATGCACTACGGGCATTTGTCTATCATTCGACAAAGTATGTGACGGTATTCGAGACTGTCTGGACGGCAGTGATGAAAATGGATTATGTAGTATGTAGCTAATCTTTGTTGCACTATTAAAATTCTCTATCCTTGTAAAAAAATGTCTTTGATAAACAATTTAGTAAAATATGTGGAGCATTTTTATCTTTGAAGAATTTAAAATTTAAACATTTAAGAAACTTAAATAATTTTTTTACTTTGAAACGAAAGGTAGATTAAGGAGAGAGAGAGAGAGAGAGAGAGAGAGAGAGAGAGAGAGAGAAAGAGAGAGAGAGAGAGAGAGAGAGAGAATTCACAAATTTTAAACATATTTCTTATACATTAAATACACATCATTTTCTTATGTATTACTTTTCTGCGTAGCAAGCTCTTGTGCGCACAACAATGTCTGCAAAGATATATGTTACAAGACACCACTTGGGGGAGTTTGTGGTTGTCAAACAGGATATCGTTTGGCCGCTGACACGAAGTCATGTGATGATATAAACGAATGCGAGCTTGATGTTTGCTCGCAGATTTGTCGAAATATTGTGGGCTCTTTTCAATGTTCATGTCACGATGGATATGTTATTCGCAGCGATAGAATTTCTTGTAAAGCTATCGGTAAGTGATTGCAGTTAAATCTTTGTGTAAATTGTTTAAAATAATGAATTGTTGATTGTCTCTAGGACCGCCAATGGAATTAATTACTGTTACCGATGATAATATCAGGAAAATATCATCGAATTTACTCTCAATTGAAGTAATTCATTCGTTAACGGGCCTGAGTGTAATTGGTTTCGACGTAAATGCACTTGATGATGCTATTTATTGGAGTAACGGTTAGTTTTCATATCTAAATTTTATTTATTATAATTAATTATAATAAATAAAATATATTACTTATATTAATATACATTTATTATTATGTATTTATTAAAAAGATATAAATATTTATAAAAGACTTTCAAAATCAATTTAATACAAAATTAAAAGTATCTTTAAAAAATTTATGTACGTATATATTATTTGAATAAATGTTAAAAAAATAATTGCAGATGAAGCTATTAATAAGCTTAACATTAAAACGAATGAACTAAACGTATTTACGAATGTCGAGAATCCGGGAGTACTTGCAGTTGATTGGATCACTAATAATATCTATTTTAATTATAATACTCATCCAAATATGATTAAGGTATATTCCTCTCTTTAATATCAAATAAATGCAAATGTTTTAAATTGATTAATAATTTATTAATTTATTTATAATAATTAATAATTTATTTATTAAAGGTATGCAACTTGAAACAACAAAAATGTGCAACTGTGGTTAAAATTGAAGGTGTGGCCAAAGTAACATCCCTCATAATCGATTCAAAAAATAGGTATTTCTCTTTCACTCTACTTGCCAGTTTCTTATTATCTTTATTTATCTTCATCATTTTTACTGATTTGATAGAAATTATAAAGAAAAGCACAGTAAAATAGGCATATAACGTTAGGATATCAGAGAAAAATCGAAATCACTTTACAGATGGTTATTCTGGAGTCAAACTACGTGGCAAGTGCATGATAAACCGTTTAGTGAAATATGTCGGGCAGATATGATGGGTGCCAATATGAAGATAATCGGTTTTCGAGATATAGGTGTCGTGAGTGGAATGGCAATCGATCATATGAAAACCAGATTATATTGGTCGGATAGTTTTCGCAAAACCATCGAATCATCTAATTTAGATGGGAGCCAACGAAGCACATTTTTAAATACAAATGTAAAATGAATATTATTTTTTAATCCATCCTATTATAATAAGAACATTATCTATATATATATAAAACCACATTTTGTATAAAAATAGATATATTAAATATATATATATATATATATATATATATATATATATATTTTTTTTCTAATAAAATATTTTTCGATCTTACAGATACATCAACCATTAGATATCAGTATTTTTGAAAATTCAATTTATTGGTTAATGGGATCAAATAGTCAAATACAAAAATGTAAATTGTATGCCAACAGATCGTGCGAAATAATGGATATAGGTTCGAGCAATATTCACAAATATTTCGCTATTTTACATGTTTCCAGACATCCTCTCGGTTAGTATATCTATAAATTATCTATTATTATAATATTTAAAAACTATCAAAATAAATCATGTTAAATTTTGCATATTTGTTGATTAATCATAATATTTAATCGAGTAAAACGAAATTATATGTTTGTTTGACAGTTGAGAATCTTTGTGAAAAGCAAAACTGCGATTATATGTGCATTTTAAAAACTAACGATGCAGTATGCATTTGTCAAGACGGTAAACCAACAACATCTAATAACACCTGTACGGTACACGATAAAATGAGAGTCACTGCAAAACATATCTCAAGAATTCAGTATCAGGGTGGAATTTATATTATAACAATAATCATACTAGTGATTGTTTTGTCATTATGCACTTATTACTATCAAAAAATCAAATCACAGACAAAAACAAATGATCTCAAGTACGTTCGAAATTTATTTGGCCAAATATAATACATATTTGTTATATTATTCATATAAAAATTATACAATGATATGACACAATATAAATATAAATATGATATGATTATTTTCAGTATTCGCTTTCATAATCCATCATACGATCGAAGAGATGAGGTTGCGGTAATACTTAGTTCTACAATTCCAAATGTATCTCCCGGAGAGCATGAATATATTAACCCTATTAATGATAATTTGTTGAAGGTAAAATTAGAACAATAAACATATTACACTTAAATATCATATTTTTCTAACTGTATCGTGAATGTTACTACAATTCTATATTTAATTACAATATACATTTTACAATATACATTATACAACACTTCTATGGTCATGCAAAAACTGTATGAATATGATAATGATTGACTTAAATATTCAATATTCTTTTGTAGGCTGCGATGGAAAGTAGTGTGAAGAGATCAGAACGAAATTTGTGCCAATTGGAAAAAGAAGATGAAGAAATAGAGAAACGAAATGCGTGTTTAATTTCTTTTACACACTCGAAATAATTCAATTATGATCAAATGAAATTTAAAAGTAAAATATCAAAGTTAAAATTAAAGAATATTATTTATGCGATAATAGAGGATCTCTTAATAATTGGTATTATAAATATCAAGACACTATATATCAATATATATATTTATATATATATATGAATGAATTAGTAATATGTCTACATATCAAAGGTTTACATATCAAAGGCTTAAATATCGTACAGTATCAAATGAGATTTGATATAGATATAACTTTAAATTCTTTGGCTTTTAGCCTAAATATTATCATTCTGTTTTTAGTAAATATTCGAAAAAATGTTATATAAAGTATTGTGTTACAATACATTTATATTTATATAAAGATTTGTTTTTATATATTTCATTTTAAGTACAAGTCGCACATATATTTAAACATAGTCATGCAATTAAATCATTATACAATTAAATCTTAATTTTTAGATGCAGATAAATACTGTTAGAAAATCTGTACATATTTATTTCAATATGTACATTTTATACATTCTTATATACTCGTATATTACTTGTTATTATATATGTCAAAAAATATACAATACTTTTATATAATTCTGCTTTCATTTTTTTACTTTATAATTTTACTTTTATAATATATAAAATTTACCATAAGATTTTTAACAAAAGTAAACATTATAACAGTTATAAAAGATAAATATATAATATATTCTATTATTTCAAACTTTACATATAATTAAATATTAAAATTTTGTAGCATTAAATTGCGTGGTATTGGTTTGTATAGTATTATCACGTAATTAGAAATTTTAAAAATTTTTGAAATACAAATTAATATAAAGTTAAAAAACGGTTATTAAAGATCTTTAATGAAACGTAGTAATTAGAACGCAGTAATTAGAACGCAAGTTTTTTTCTTAAAAATCTTTAATATTTAACTTTTTGTTGATTTATCTTATGGACTTAATTATAAAATAACCTAATTATGTAATAATTTTTTTATTTACAAATTAATATGTTAAATTTTCTATTCTTAAATATTATTCAAGTTCTTCTTAAATCGCTGGACACCCCTAATAAATAACAATAAATTTTTATGCATAAATTTATAAATTATTATAATAAATTTTTATGTCTTTAATAATATATTAATTTTTATGCCTTTATATATAATAATATGTCTTTATAATTTAGTCTTTTTTGACATATTTATTAAATAATAATTTTTAAAAACAAATAATACAAAAAACGTTGATGTTATTTGCGACAATTTATACTATCATTTTGTGGATTAATTTTGCATGTATTATCATGAGAATTTTTTTAATATATATAGAATAATCAAATATTGATATAATAATTTATGTTTACATTTTTCTTACTCGTTTTTTATTATTCAAATGATATGTCAAATATAAAAATTAATATATTTTTTTCAGAGGGGATATGTTATATTTATATATGCATCGATATAATTATATCTATTTTTATAATACATTCATATAACGTACATTTTGTAATATTATAATGATATTAAAATTAAAATTGTTTAACGTTAATATATAATAATTATTTTCAATGCATTAAAATGCAAATTAAATATAAAATTTTTATTATATTTACATAATAAAAACATATACTAATATATTAAATAAATAAAAAACAAAAATTGTATGTTTACAGGTACATAATTAATAATTCAGCGTTTTTTAATTAATTCGTTTTATTATTTCTTTTATATTGTCAAGAGAGAGATAATATAATTATATTTTTATATGAATTGAAACGTCAAAGAGTGATTAGTGAAAATTTGAAATTTTACATTATGGAAGTATTTCGTTAGATACTTCATTGCCTGAGAGTATCATATACAAATCAGTATCGATTTCGCGATCAGCCACATCAGAAATTTTGCACGATGTATCCATATAGCAGGATTCTAAATAGATTAATATATAATTAAATAAACTATAGCATATTTTTACATAATATATAATTATATTTGATATATATATATATATACATATATATATATATATATATATATATACACATATATACAGGGTGTCCCAGTTATCTTCCGTCATTTTTTAAAGACAGATTCCTGGGATCATTTGAAGGCGATTTTTCCTCAGCGAAAATGTCAATGAAGGCCATCATTATTTGCATGTTTCCGATTTTTGTCATCATATATCTTTACAATTAAATCTTAAATTAAAACTCAACTAAAGTAAACTCTATTTAAAATTAATCAAAGAATGTGGTTTTGTTAATATTTTATTTCTATAAAGTTTAGTTTATGAAAAACCCCTTATTTCCAATCACTTATAATTCGAAAATTATTAGTGCTTCGACATTTTCGTTGAGGAAAAATCGTCTTCAGATGATCCCAGGAATCTGTCTTTGAAAGATGACGGAAGATAATTGGGACATCCTGTGTATATATATATATATATATATATATATATACAATATAAATTTTATTTAAAAAGTAATTATTTTTTCTTTAAAGTTTAATTGTTTCCTTATGCTTACCTTGCGAGCAACAAATACCGTTTGCAGCGCATCGCGCTGTATTTCCACGACACATTGCATATCCAGCGATACAAGGTTTAGTGTATAGGCTTTCTTTTCTGCAACGGTACGTTTCAGGTGTTCCTATGAAGCAACCGATATTGGGACCACAGCAGATGCGAGGTCCGAAACATTGACCCATATGGTTGGGGCCACATGTGGGACACTGTATTTAAAAAGTATTATAATGATGGAAAAATAGTATAATGATTTCAACTATAACAGAATTGTATATTGTATTATACATTTATATATAAATAGTAAAAATAAAATTAAAATACTCGTAAATTTCAGATATTTATATAAATAAATATTTAAAAAAATTAAAAATCAATATTGTTTTATCATATGCAGATACGAGAATAGGAAGCATAATTTATATAAAGGATGTGTATATGAGTAGTTTCCTATTTACATATAATAAAATATTTCGATCTTAGTATTATTTTTCTATTTACTTTTTATTAAAATATGTATTTGCGTAAATTTCTAGTTTAAGTGTTAACAATAATTAATAATAATTCTGTATAAAAGATAAACAATAGATAACAAATTAGAATAAATAAGTTTATAAAAAATTTTTTATTTTGCTGAAATTCTCTCTCTCTCTCTCTTTCTCTCTTTCTCTCTCCACAATACTTATTTCTGTGGATTTAATTAATCATTGTTAAATTCTTTTTAGGGATTTAAACTTTCAAATTATCAATATATTAGATTTTATTAATGTACTAAAATCATATGTAATTCTATAATGATTATTAATCATAAATAGATGAATAAATGTGTAAAAAGTATAAATTTGTAAGAAGTATAAATTTTAATTATATTAAGTATGTATATTTATTTTTGATAGATTTATTAGATATTTATAAAATCTATAAAATAATATCTATAAAATAATTGTGTTATATAATATATAATATATTATTATATAATATATTTAATACTAAAGAAAAAATTATATATATATATATATATATATATATATATATATATATATATATATTACTTCTCGTGTAACAGTTTTCAAAAAAGACGCGATATCACTCCTTTTTCCACCACGTGGACAATTCACAATTAAACAAGCATGACTCAAGAAAATCAAACTCGCACAAATGACAAGTTGCTTTAGCATCCTGAGGAAACTCTGGTGATATTGCACGAGATAGTGTACCAACGATCGAAAAAACACTGTTGTGTTCGAAGAGCTCCGTCGATTATTTATATCATTGAATTTTCATACTTAAAATTCTTCTTGAGTATTTTTAGAGATATTCCTCATAATGCAGCACTCTAAAGATTATGAAAATTCTACTTTTATGCGAGAATAATAAATATGTACATATGATTTCATTCATTGTTGCAAAAACCTTTCTATCACTTTTTCTTTTTTTAAAATAAAATTGGAAAAAAAATATAGAATAATTTAAATAAAAAATATAGAATGTTATGAAAAAATGTGCCGAATAAAATAAAGAAATTAATATCTTAAATATACATATTAATGTTCTACGTTTGTATAATGCATAGTGACTGCTACATGATATTTTTCTCCTTTTTGAATTTTTTTCCTCATTTTCTTCAATTGGAAACTTTAGCTTTTGCAACAATAAGAATTGTATCTTATTAAATATTTATTATTTACATAAAGAGATAAGATTTCCATGATTTTTATGAATAGGAATATCTTCAAATACTCAATAAGAATTTTAAGTAAATTCGCTTGTATGAGACAAAAATATTATTATTTGTAAATTGTTAAAACAAGAGCGAGAAAAGCAATAAATATGCATATAAAGATCTTAATGTGATAAAATATAAAATGTTTATATAAGAAGTAATATTTGATATAAGAGATATGTGTCAATAATACAACAAACATGCCTGAAATGTATGTGTGGTTTTATATGGACACCCACATAATTGAATTTATATACTTACACATTATATGACGTATGTAGATGTTCTCTTATCTTTTATAATTTTATAATTTTCTTATCATTTATATTTGTGAATTTAAATTTATGCACTATATATATATTAACGTCTACGTACGTCATATAAGAACGAGTTACAGCGCCATCCTTGGCGGGTATACACACTAAGATATACGTCTTTTGCAAATGGCGATTCGAAACTAGTAACTCATTGCAAGTGTGTGCGCAGATTAAAAATAAAGTAGGAAATCGGAACCAAAAACGTGTTCTCTTAGGTTGATAGACTGATATAGATAGACTTTTCGGTAAGCCTCTTTTCTTTTTCATTATTTCAAAATGGAGAAGGTTTAATTTTATTATCAATTTCAAGATACCACGTATAAAATCGTGTAATCGTATAATGTAGCGATCGAACGCGGATGATGGATATGTTGCACTTACAAATGCTTCAAAGCATTTTAATAATTAGAAAAAAAGAGCTTCATTCTTTTTATCCTGATCAATTGAACGATTGAGTAGTAAGTATGTACCAGCTGTGAAATGCAATATCTGTAACATTTGTTATTTTAATTTTTAATTTTATTTTTTGATATGACATTTTTCTCAGATTTACGAAATTAGGCTTGTATATTAATATTATGATGATTATTATGAATTTTAGAATAAATAATTTATTGATACAATTTCTTACACTCAAGTACAATTCTAATTGATATACGCTTTTGTTGATATTCCTAAAATTCTATTTGTTTTAATTTTTATTGTAACTTATATTGTTAATTATTTATTTACAGACACTGATTGATATTTCGACGGGTGATTGGCCATCGCAGAAATTCGGTGATGTTTACAAAAATTCGGCACTGGTGAGTGTGATAAATACTATTTTCAAAATATTTTATCTTATTGCAAGTAGTTACAATGGTCTATTTATACACTGGCTGTAAATAATTTATTATTTTCTTTTAGAAGGATAGAAAACAAAATTTATATTTTTTAGAAAAATTTAAAATATTTTGATATAAATTAAAAGAGAGAATTATAAAAGATTTTTTATATTGCAATTGTCCTTTCCACATACAAATAAATTAATATTTAAATAAATTTATTTTACTTTTGTTATTGTTTAATTAAATTAGTGCTAATTTAAAATAAAGTAATGTAAAGTAAATTAATGTATAAAAAAATGTGTAGACTTTATGTTGCCATAGCATTAAAAAGAACATATAAAAGCTATATTATTTATAAATCTGATATAAATAATTTTATATTAATTTATATAAATAAATATTTAACTTATAACAATAAACTTATTAATCTGCTAACTATGCAAATACACAATCGCAAAAACACTACGCAAATACACAATTCTTATAATAATTAAATATTTTAGATGTTTTCTCCGATTATTTTATTTTCAAATTCTCTCTATTTTATTCAACTTATTCAAATCTTCTTCCGCATCTGCTTCTTTTTCTGAAATTATTCTAGAAATTAATTTTTTAGATAAAAGTTTCTTTATTTATTCACTTCTCGTGTCTCTTTTTCTTTAATTCTTCTTCTTCAATCATTTTTCTGCAATTATTATCAATTCCATCTCTTTTAATTTTTTCTTTTATTTTTTTTCTTTAATTACTGTAAATTAATTTTCTCTACAAGCCAGTTTTTGTTTATTACTACTTCATATAATAAAAATAGTTCAATAACACACTGATCATAATTTCATATCTAATTACAATATGTATGTAATCGAACTTGATTCTAAAATCTAATGAGATTTATTTTCTAATGCTTTTGATGCAAATTTCGTAATAAAAAATAAAAATAAAAAAAACTCATTTTCGCGAAATGTTCCACATTTTAATATATAATATTTGTATGATTAAAACGTCCAAATTTTGTAATAAATTTCAAAATTAATTTCCTATAGTAGAGTGGTTATATAACATATAAGTCATTCCTTTCTGCTATACCGTGTATTGAAACAGGAACGCGGATGGCGTGCGAATGGGTATTAATCTTTGATCGCCATAGCGATCTATCACGATATAATAATCGCGTCCATTGATATTGTGTTTCTTTCCTGGAGTAGAATCGGGTGGAGTATTCCGATATAACGGACTTATATTTTGTAAATTGACCCGTTTGTTGAACAAGTGATTCTTCTTGGTATACACTAATTGTGGGGTCACAGATTCGTTTGACCTTCGCTTCCACTTACAGCAGAGCGTGCACCTACCGGTCTTTTTCCGTCGTTTATAAGAGTTCATCGTCCACTTGATCATCCATTCGAGAATGAAAATCACCGTCGCGATTAAATAACCAGCGCCCATTACCTTGAAGGTCAAGGACAAATCGGAAAATGACAGTTGTCTCTCAGTGGATCGAAGATCCAATGGGCATGTTTGCGCTAGTGGTAGATTCTTCAATTTTTCACGAATTATTATACCGGATTCTACTAAAGCCCGCAATCTAAAATAACAATAATTAATTTATTGAAGAATATTAATTAAATCACATTGTTAAAAAAATAATTTGACAATTTCAATAAATGAACGTGATATTACGTAAATTATGTGATATTTTTATTTAATTAAGTCTTAAAAACTGTTGTAAGAATATAGATCAATAATTACAAAAATATTCGTCTTCAATCATATTAATTTTTTAAATCAAAAAGTTTGTACATGTGTGTGTGTTTCCATAAAAATTCATACAAACATAAAAAATTGATGCTTACTCTTTATTGAATGGTTTTTCCAAGGTAGAATTTACGGGAAAGGCGAATGCTCTACTAGTAACGAAAATCGTTCCGGGCATAATGACGTATGTACATCTTTTCTGATGTAACACACCTTCGCGCGTTTTATTGATATAATCTGCGAATATCAAGCTTTGGAGATAATGAGTGTCCCCGAGAAACAATTTGTCTACAAATTAATACACATATACATGTATATATATGTTTTAACTTATTGTTAGTATTGACGCATGCTTGAAGATCTATCGCGTCGTTAATACTTACTCTTCTCTACAGCGTTGAAAATGGATTTAACCGGATATTCATACGATGTGATATACTGGTATTTTACAGTATTTAACAAACTCAATTCGTCTGTAATATGCTAAAAATATTTAAAATGTTTAGGTAATTATGTTTAAAGAACATTTCACTTGTTATACGATGTAACAGAATAATGCTTGTAGCAAGTCTCAGTTTTAAATCATAAAAAAATATAGCATTACGTTACCAATTATAAATATTAGATGCAAATTTGCTAAAAGATTTACGTGAGAAAGCACAAAATCGATGATGCGTCCTTTATAAGTAACCCATTGATAACCTTTGCGTACTATATCCTGCAAGTTGTTGATTGGCAAAGTAAACTGTGGTTTCGTGAGAAACGCAGTAAGATTTGCCGTGTAGAAAGATGTCAGTATTAAGATGAATATCCACCATGTGGCGAAAAGAATTCGCGTCGAATCTGTAATAAATTTATTTTAATAATAATATAATTTTAATAATAATATAATATAATGAGAGCATATATAACATTCCTACTATGTTACATTTATCTTACATTACTCATATTATTATAAAAAATTAATATATAATCATAATTGCCATAATAATCGTATTAAAACCATATAAGAGTTAAATGATAAATGTGCGCAAATTAATTATAAAATAGAAAATTGCATGCAAGTGTAACTCCTAAGAGAATACAGACGTCAGACGCATATAAATGGCGTAATTAGGATCTTTTCATTTAAAAGAGCGTAGTAGTTGCATACCCGTGGTCGCGATTATATTTGTTCCTTGTTTCAACAAAGAACTATACACGAACCATACGCAAGAGAACAAGCTATAATTCTCAAAGTCAGGTTTTTTCCATAATTTTTCCCTAGAAATGATTGATAATATTTAAAAAGTTGTTTCAAAATTTTCACTTTCTGCTTACAATTCTCCGAAATTCTCAACAAACCTGAATGTGGCAAAAATGTAAATTATTGGTCCTACGACAAGCACCGCAGTGAGTACCAATAACCAAACTGTTTGATTAAATGGTGTGAGCAATCCTGAACCAGTTGCCGATTCTTGCGGTCGCTTCATCAACACCGTTAGCTCGCTTTGGTCTAAAACTATGCTGAATGTGCAATATCTCCGCATTTCCGGTAAAACAGGCAAGAAAGCCACCGCCATGTCCACCTTCTGTTCAAATAGGAAATGGTATTTCTATTTTTCGACAATTTAGATAAATATTTATTTACTATTGCTTGTTAAATTAATTTTATTAACAGAAATGTAATCTACATTCTATTATGCATGAAAAAGAATAATTTGCTAATCAATTATGACGAAGAACATCTTACCCTCTCGTAGAGTAAACTTAGTATTCCACTTCGATCATTGCCCAGTATATGCTGCTTAGGCGGTATTATAGTATATGTGAAATTTAATTTAGAACTAAGCAGTTCAAGCAAGTAAAACGCATAACCTTTTCCCACCCATGTTCCATTCTCTTGCACTAATCCGGAAAATGGCATGTCCTATAACAATTGTTGCAATCGATGTTTACGTAGCTTAAGATAAACATAGAATTGCGATTTTTTAAATAAAAATTGATAACCATTATCACATATATTTAAAATTAAAAATAAAGATGATAACTTTCTAAAATTCTACGAGCTAAATTTGACGAATGTTATATAAATATAACATTTGTTATTTTATAAGAATCGTAATTATTATTCATTATTATCAAATATTATCATAAGAAGATAGGAAGATTGCGCTCAAGGATTGATTATTTAGCGTGTATACTCTTTTACATCATTACATATAATATTGTTAAATCCCATAATGAAGCTTAGACGCCCTCAACGTTATTTTAATTATTATCTTTGCGCGTTTGTTATCATAGTGTCAGGATCGTTTCATGCACAGTTAATTGCATATACTCAATTTAAATGTTTGTACATTTTAACGTTCGATATCGACCTGCACGAACACGTTAATAAGCGCCATAAAGATTGCAAGATGCGCGACATGTATGTCGGAAAATATATAATCATACCCCTCCCTTTCGATAAACTTTATTAGTAGCCACGATACTCACGTAATATAACAGCTCTAATAGCATGTTTAGTTACTCGATTAAGGCTTTTTGTTTACTACGTCACGCAAAACACGCAATACCACCGGGAAGGTACTATTCACAACTTCTAACTATATGAAACACATTCAAAGATAAACTAGTTTTATATATATATATATATATATATATATATATATATATTTATATATATTTCTTTAAAAGTTTACACTTTATATAACTATTGTGTGTGTGTGTGTGTGTGTGTGTGTGTGTGTGTGTGTATGTGTGTACATGTGTGTGTACATGTGTGTATGTGTGTACACTCGATGAGATAATTCTATTAATTCTATTAACATTCTATCATAATAAATTTTAAATTATAAGAATATATTGTAGATAAATTTTAACGCGTATATTTTAAAATAAAAAATGTTGGGAAATGAGAATTTTGTAATTACTATCTTTTATTCTTAGTTTTTTTTATGTATTTCATTTTTAAATTAAATTAAAGTATTTCATATTTGTACCATTTTTTGATGTTCTATAACTAACTTTCTTTTACCACATATACGTATTATTTAGCATTATAGTTAGCACTTTAGACTGTATTAATTAAAATAACAATATTATAGTTACAATAAAACATAAAATGCTACATTTTTATAGCAAAATTAGCTCTCAAGTTGAAGAAATAAATTCACGTGCAAAGGTGATGATAACGGTTTTTACACGACTTCGCGTGTTTTTGTAATTCTAGGTTTTTCATATCATCCATATAAAAAAGTAGAACATTTTGTCAGTGATCAATAAATTATGTGACGGATTGTCACTTGAAATATGACATAGTGATAAGTATAATTTCATGTATATAGTATTTTGGTATATATTATTCAACGTAATTTTTCTTTAATATGCGAGATATTAAATAAAGTTTGAAAAAGAATTAGTTAATGTTTATCTGATTAATCTATTTTTTATTTACTTAATATAATATTATAATAACAAAGATTTTGAAAGAAAAAAACATTAAAAAATTATTAATGTAATTCTTTCTTACATATATAAGTTAATATTTTAAAAACAATTAATCTAATTAACCTATTTTTTATTTTCTTATTAGTATAACTAAGGTTGTGGAGAAGAGACATTGAAAAAGATAAATTAATATTGATAATTGGTAATTAATAAATCAATAAATATTTTATATTTGACAGACACATAACTTTCGTGATGAATAATCATCGCATAAAAAATGCATAGGCTATTTATTACGTAATAAAGGTAATATATGTATACTTTCTGTTAAGAATGTCATATTGTAACATTCATGCCACATTCTTATCGTTCATCACAAAATGAAATCATAAAGATGTGCACTTAATGTATCATGTGCAGGGCACAACAAAATAAGATATTTTATAATACACGTGTAATATTGTCAATTCGTAATTAAAATTACTTATTAAAATATTTAATTCAATTTTGGATCAATTTTTTATTTTGATAATGTAAAGTTTTGTGTATTAAAATATTTTACGTATAAAAATTTAAATTTACAATTAAATATATAGCAGGATAAATGTCAGATACGTTGATTAAAATTAAGTTAAAGTAATAAAGTTGTGTTTAAATATTTCTTTAGTTAATAAACTATATAGGAAACATAGCGCACTATTTTATATATTTTTTCGGAAAATGTTGATAAATTTCGTCGAAGCATATAAATGTGTTATATTTATCTCTGTTATATCAAACACATTTTCCTTTCATATAATAAAGTATTTTGGTTGCGCGCAAAATAAACAGCAAAAGTTTATTTCTATATTATTCGCTTTATTATACTATTATATTATTATATTGTTATTGTATTGTTATACTCTAATTATAATATTTTTGAAATATATGTATACATATATTTCAAAAATTACCTAACCTGCGTATCTCAAAATATGTGCAGCCACAAGAGCAAAAATTTTTTTATTAATCACATACAATTTTCTTTTGTTTAAATACGTTTTATTATAAATGTTAATTAAATACGTTTTATTATAAATGTTACTTTTTACTTTAATCACCATTATAATAGTTAAACTTACATTCCATGATGTTATTTTCATTTCTGCAGGTATCATTGACTTCACAGAACTTTGTTCATCAGTTGTTGTAACATCTGGAAATATAATATTGTGCGTGTGTGTTTTTTATATATAAAATTAAAAATAATGATACATCAAAATGTATCTTTTTCCAGCATCTCTAATCAAGTTTTAATAATTTATTTTCCAAATATTAATTTTTTAGTTTTAACGTTAAAATATGATTATTCAGATAAAGAATAAAATGTGAATTTATTTTTCTTAAATTAATTTTAATTTATTGTTAAATAAGGAATATCTTTGTAAAATTTTTTATATGTTATTGACTTAACTTTCATATCGAATTGCATCTTTATTTAATCTATTTTTTCACGTGTATATTTTTAATATTTTAATAAAAATTGATAATAAATATATAAATTATATATATGTATGTACATATCATTTTTTATTAAAATATTAAAGATATGCATGTGTATTTGTGTATATATATATATATATATATATATATATATATATAAATTTTAATAAAAATGCATTAATTAAGCATAATTATTTTTTTAACGAGAAGCTTACTTTGTCCGCAGGTGCTGTGAGATGTCGTGAGTATAAATATGCCAAGTAAAAATTGCCGAAAGTTGTGCATCCTTCAACGATATACACTACATTTTATTTACGCATTTTGATTAACAAATCCTCTCATACATCTTCCGTGGCCGGAAATGCTTCGTCTAATATGGCATAACCAACAGCCAGGTGAATCGATACTGACACTCGTCTAGTTATTCTGACCGGGACGACAGCTACGTAGTGACGAACCGTTTTATGTCAGCATGTCACGCGACTGTTGAAGACGTCCGTTGAAGAGGGGAAGGACTAACAGAAAACGACGATGTTCTGTACGCGCGGGCGCCGTCAACCCTCTAACACATCCACGTAGTTATCTTGTCAGAGATTCTATTGGTCTACAGAGGTTGACGAATTGCTCTTTTTCATCGAAATCTGCATTACTACTTAGACTTCGTTGATCGTGAAAGTCAGGTATGATAGGCTCATAGTTGGTATCAGGTACGTACACGTTTTTTTATTTTTATTTATTTCCTTTCAGTGAAATTGTAATTGATAAAATCTTGTATGCATATGATTTTGATAAATAGAGAAATTAGATAATGCTATGATCTCCAAGATTATTATTAATACATTTATTATTTTTATTAAAATTATAGTCAAATATTTCTGACAATATCCTTATTTTATATGAAATTGATTATATAAATAATAAATTAAATAATATAATAATAATATGTATAATAGATTAAATAATAGAGTTGATTAATTGATTAATAAATCCTTTTCTTAAAATCTTTAGTATGCAAGTAACAGATAAATCTTTCGAGATGTAGATAAAAAAGAAAGTAGTAGATTTCTTTAGTACCTATGATTATGATTTTGAGTGATTGATTGGTGGCATTAAATATGATTAGACAAATAGACACATGTACCATTTTCATATGTCACGCAAGTCGTATCTAATATTTCACATAATATATTTAGCGTAATGCTTGTTCTTTAACCTTCTAATAGCATTTATCTGATCCGATCTCCGAATGATAAAACCAAAAAAGACGTTTTATATAGATCTATTTCTTAATCATTCTTTATTTAATGATACCTTTAGCGAGTTATCCATCGTATAGAGGAGAGAAATCTTATAAATAATTAGCAATAATTACAGATTTTTTCAACATTTTTAATTCTTATAAAGCAAAATAAAGTAATATATCAACTAGCAGCAGAGTGAGGGCGTTTGCATATATGATGTTTCAGAGATAAATTGAAAGATTAATGTTTGCGAATGCGATGTGAAGTTTTCGTGAAAGTATACATTATATCAGTCAGTATGAAGGTTACGTTACACGTGTATACGATCAATATACGCATCATTAGCAACATTGAGCAAGTAATCATGTGAACCATCTGTCAGAGGAAATTAATAGTAATATTATTAATAGAACGTGCATATATCCTCTTCGGTGTGTAAAAGTGTAACATCAACTAAAATTGAGACCATTGAGATTAATCATTCTTGTTCTGTCGAATGTTAGAGAAATCAAACAAGGGATGGGTGTGATCGAAATAAAAAGAGAAAACGATTCTTCTTGGGAATGATTTTCATTATTCATTGTTAAATTGAAGTACATCTCAATATACAAATCACATCGCCTGTGTCCTATGAATATATAATATATCGCTGCTCCGTTCGCCGGAGCGTCTGAGTTGTCTCTCGTTCGCAATCGCAGCAAAAAGCATCACCGCATCTCCGCACCGAAGGATCGAGCGACATGTCAGGACCGAGACATAATTGTATAAATAGTCTGAACAAATAATACGGATATCAGAAACGGATATTCGCTTACGCTCCGCACAGATTTTACACAAATTTTATTTCATTTCGTGTCAATCGCACACTCTCTGTTCGAATATCCTTCTCTATACAATCTTGATAAAACTATATCTGTATTTCAATGAAGCTCTCCATCTGTTTGATTTTTTCTACACATCCGTATATCTCTTGATCGATATTTTTGCTTGATATAAATGTAATTACTTTATTATATGTGTTGTTTCTTGACTTTATTCTTTACCATTTACATTTAATTTCGCTGTTTCATTGTGTGTCTCGATCCTACTCGTTTCCACGTTATATTACAATCATCGCGCGAAGGAGATTGCCGAAATGAAACGGAAAGAGAGGGGAGGGAAATAATGCGAAAGTAGCACATGAGAAACGCGGTCGAAATGTATTCAAGCAAACTCGGCAACAATATTAACGATAGATCACATCTCGTTATGACGATGACAAAGGCTGACGAGAGAATGAGAAATAATAAAAATGATCACATGTGGCGCTAACGCGGCAAATGGGACTAATAATCTCGAGATGATGATCATGATAAACGTGATTACAATGACTTCTCGTCTAATCAATAACTTATGACCGTAGTTATCAACATTTTGTCGCCTTATTCACTGAGAGATCCAACGGCGAGTAGGCGAGAAGCGCGCATGGAGATGACGTAAGTATAGAGAAAATTCAATGATTTTATAAATTCGAAAGAGAGACATCAATAATAAATATGTAATTAATTATATTAAATATATAATCAATTTAGTGGAGATTAAAAAGACTAAATCATAAATATTTTTTGATTTTTCTTTTTTATATCTTTAAAGTCAAAATTATTTGTAAAACATTGATTAAAAATTATTAGCGTTTTTTGTAATATATAAAAATTAGATAAAGAATATATATTCTTTCGAATTTGCATATTACTGAATTTTCCTCGTGAATTGCAATGAGATGCAAAATGATTCAACTTATTCGGAATTAGCGATTTGCTGTTTACAGATCTACCTAATAGATTTAATTAATTAAGCAGAAGAAGCGTTAAAATAATTCTTCAGTGACAGAGTATAATAATATATAATTTGGAATGGAACGTGCTCTTATATATGTATACGCTAGATGTGCGTGACGAGATTAATGACATGCGATTTAGAGATCACAATACGACACAAAAATCAACTTCAGTAGAAACAAATCGATATAATTAAAACTTCTCTAATAAATGATCGGTGAATATAGGTTTTTACAACATTCGATTCATGTCGCGATTTATTTTGTCCCAAATCTCCTTTTTCTTCACAACAATATACTATATTCGTTATATGATAATTATTTTCCTTCATTCGTGATTCTTTTTTGTCACGCAGGTCAACCTAAATCGATCACTAAATCATTTTTTCATAATTTTGGCTTATTACGTATCATTTTACTGAACATATTAATATTTCATTAAGATTTTTAGTGTGCGTACTTGATTTATAATACTCAGATAATCGAGAAGAGTTATTTGGATCGCTCTGTAAAATGTCAATCGATCTTTCCCCATATTTCATGCGTATTACAAGCGTATTTCGTATTACATCGATGTACATAATCTATTCTTGATAGTTTTGCGCGAGCGTATTCTATCTCCGGTCCTTCCCTCGAAAATAAAATATATAATCATTGAAAATATATGTTCTATGAATAAAAATAATATCACCATATGCAATATAATCGTGGAATGTCCATTGAAATTCGTCACAGCCTCTGGCAGATTAAAAATAACGCAAGCTACAGTAAAATAATAAACACGACATCCGTTTATAATAATGATGCTTTTTGCGTTTTGTGTCATATAACGGATCTCGAGTTTGATATTAAAAAAAAAAGAAAAAGGAAATTATATTACGGTTATAAGAAACTAACGGCTATCAAGATATTTCTTCTGCGCTTCGTCGCCAGAAATCACCATGCGAATTGAAACTGTATCTCCCAATAATCGCAGCAAATTTTTTAACGTTTAGATCACGAGCAAGATATTTACCAACGATGTACGCGTACGTAGAATCGAAGTGTAACATGTACAAAAACTCTCGTTAATCAAAATGAGAAAGGCACAATTCGTATGTATAAATCAAAGAATTGTATTACATACATTATTCGTTGCTCGGCAAGAAAAAACATAAACTAAAAAAATACGGCCAATATCCAAGTCCAAGACTGATTTTCTTGAACAAGGCAAGTATGAAGTTGCGTGACATCGTTGACATTCTTCATTTTCATGTCACACAATGATCGTCAATAGGTATAAGACCGTCATAATTTATGAGAGGCAGATCATACACTATATATATATATATATATATATATATATATATATATATATATATATGATCTACTATAGATTCGTGATTGGTTTCTCTCTTTTTTCAATGTTGATTCTTTATTCCGATTTAACTTTCGTAGACTCATCCACAAAATGTAGTCTGACTGCTTCTTTTGACCATAAAAAGTATGATAAATGTCACATACAATTATAAGCTAAATCGTCATATAAATATTTAATTTGACTGCAATTTGATGTCTTTTCGAGAAATCGTTAATCTTTCCTTTTACACATTCTTGATTGTATATTATAGCTTATCTATAAATCCAGAGCTCTTGATTATTGAATATTGATTATTGAACACATTTATAACAAAAAGATTATATTTATGGAAACAAAATGAAATTTGTCATAATATCTGTGTGGTTCAATTTATTATACTATCAATTTATTAAATTATCAACAATTTAAGTAAAATAATTTTGATTAAAATGTTGTTTTGCACGTATAATGCTAATACATTGTCAGAAATTTCGAAAACTTTAATTATTTTATGATGATAGAAAAGACGGAGCAAGCGAAGGAAGAATTGTTCAAAAAATATTCGAAATATTTGTAAAATATTTGAGACTTAAGAAAATATCGAGACTTAAAAACGCATACTCCCTCCGTCTTTTATCAACCGTAGGTTGGCAGCAATCGGGAGTAAAAACCGAAAAAATCTTAAATCGGATTAAATAGATTTTATTTTTAAATTGTTTCATATTAATCAATATTTATATTAATTATTATTTTATAATAATTATCTATATAATAGATTAATTATTATTTTATAATAATTATCTATATAATAGATTAATTATTATTTTATAATAATTATCTATATAATAGATTATCACATTATTACAGTACATAAAAGAATTCTCACAAAAAAGTCATTTTCAATTTTAGAGAAATATAATAATATTTATTTAAATAATTAATTAATATTAAACAATTTTATGACGATTAATTTAAAGAACATATGATTTCTGATGTTTTTATATCTCATTTTTTTAAGACTACATTTCTTTCATTTTTTTAAGTTTTGCCTTTTCTTCGCTGCTTCTTCGTCTTTTGGAAAGGAATTGTGAAGAAAAGAATCCCGCACATGATCATACGTCAAGAGAGTCAGTTTCTTCGCAAAAAATTACGTAAATATATACATAATTATCACGTAATTATAGAATCAGTCTCCAGCATGAGCGATGATGCAACTAGTAAACTTTCCAAACGTGTATTGTACATATGTAATGTGTGTGTGTGTGTGTGTGTGTGTGTGTGTGTGTGTGTATGTGTGTATAGATATATGCACTTATGTCTGGGATTATTCGGTTGCATGGTGATCGAGCGGTAAAGCGGAGTTCGAAGGATTACTGATTTCCGGACAAGCGCTTAGGGACAATTAAGCGCAATAGCTGGACAGTTCGCTTATCGTGCACGCATTGAGACAGCATTCCTCGTGGATGCCTCGCGATTGTCTTCGATAGCGCCTGCCGGCGAACGGTCCATTCAACATCCCCCGTGCTCTTGCTCGGGGCAGGAACGGGGGAGAGTCGTAAGCAAACGGATAATCAGCCATCTCCATTTCTGAAAGAAAAGTGCAAACTTTTGTAGCAGTGTGTACAAATAATATAAAAAGCGTATCATTCTAACACATTCTCTATCTATATGCATCACCGATTTAATTGAATAATTTTTACGGGCATTTTATTATTGTTTATTCATTACATTCCGCTTCTTATTTTTTCTCATTTAAAAATCTAAGAAAGTTTTGAAATTTTCCAGAAAGCTCTTTCTTGTTACATACCATCTTCAAGATCATATCTTGCGTGTATACGTAATCAAAGTTAGTACCCTTAGCCGTAGTCGATATTCGCTTCTTCCCGGTTCGGAAAATACTCAAGATAGAATATTATTGTTTAAAAATATCAAAACTTTCTTAACAATAATATATTAAAAAAGATACACACATATATATAAATACAATTCATTATAATTTATAAAGATAAATTATTTTTAAATATTTTAAATGAATTATAAACATAATCAGCAAAAAATCAACTTTAATAAAGTTAAACATCTAATTTGATAGCAATGAAAATGTTTTAAATGACAATCGTGCTAGTTTTGATTGGCAAATTTTGTGTTAGAAAAAAGACAAGATATCTTTATATTTGCGTGTTATTTGCATCATAAAAGGCATATATATTATTTGAGGTAAATGACTAGAAAGTGCTTTCCATTGTCAATAAACGGTATATCTAGATTTCAGTGTCAGATTGTATGGATTTATTTGACCGATTAAGCCCAATGATAAATCGATTTATGTATGTATGAAAAAGATTCATGCAGATTTCTGATGTAAATTGTTATATTTTTTTCTATGAAAAATTGAATCAGCGGATAAAGATACTCCTATAATGCTTTTATTTTTTATTGGCATATTTAAAAGAGTGACGATTATAGAGAGTGCCTTTGTCGACTTGGATGATCCCACTCGGAAATACGTAATACGAGCTTACATGCATTATTCATCAGTGACAAAGTGGTGATTGGTTAATTGCAGGCACAGAGATTGATCATGTGCTTAATCGCCTTTCATATAATACTGTGCTTAAGGAGCTATTAAGAAATTGATGGCTTTAAAGCAAAAATTCTCTCATAATTGGAAGCAACCCAGAGTCTGTAACGTTCACTTTAAATGTGAAGTTGTATTTAAAGTGAACATTTTAAATTACTGACTGACCTCATTCTTATATTGAGCCATTCAATTAGAAGTCCAGAACAAATTAAACGTTATTTGTTACTTTCAAACGAGTCGTTTTATATATTTATGTAATTAATATTATAATTATTAAATATATATTTTAAATTGTGAAATATTATTTCATACACACACACACATGTATATATTTTTTCAAACATTTAAATATTTTGCGACATCCAGATTTGTATTTGATAATTTAGACGATAATTTATCTCGATAATTTCACTTTAGTTCCATTATAAAATATTCGTTGTATCATCGCGGGTGATATTAATCGAGAAAGAAGGAATGCGAACATTAATATTAATGATCCAATCGCTGCATTAAAAAGGTAAATTTTATAACTAATAGACTGCTGTTGCACGTGAAAAATATTCCTGTGTGTGTGAATATTATCTTTCAAACTCTTCCTACTAACTTTCTAAACATTATGATTATTACATATGCGCAAAATCGTTCTATCGAGAATTTTCGCAAATCATATAATACAATGGTTAAAATGAGATGGTCAATAATATTATAATAAGGCATTATTTTAGTAAACAGTTCATTTGGTCCGTGCGCGTTCCAGATAGCTTCATTTTTTAAACTCGTTTAGTCGAAGACTGCGTAATAACATCGATAAATAATCGCTGTCCAAAAAAATGCCTTATTATAAATATTTCATGTTCTTTAAAAAAACAACTATCTCATTTATGTGATTTTTAATAGATTACAGAATAGATTTATCAGTATATTATATTAATAAAAATATTTAAAAAATTTTTATAAAATATTTTATAAAATATTTATAATCTAAATGTCAATTAAAACAATATTTAACAATTATTTAAAATTTCTTCTATTTTATTGTATAAAACACACACGCATATGCGATTAAATTCTAACAATAAGAGATACATTAAATGATTCATAAATGAATCATGCTGGTTAAACTATCATCTTCAACTATAATTACAAATGTTAAAATCTGATAAAGAAAACATTGCATACATTTAGGAAACAAATATATTATTTAACATAGTTACAGAAATAGAAAATTTTACTCATTACCGATATATCTATCCTATTTGACGTTTGGATTCGTGTAAGAGAAAAATATATCTTTTGTATTGATTAGCTTTTATGCTTACCTTGATCTAGACTCTTTTTAAACATGGAATTGTACACGCCATCACAGACTATCTGTAGAGCATTAGAAAGCTTCTTGCCACAATATTTCTGGGGCACGCCCGCAGGTTTCTGGTTAAATTGGGGGTAGCCGTTCGCTTGTGCGTTTCTTGATTCCGACACAAGAAACGCGATGGCGATCATCAAGCTCACAAACACGTTCAAATGGTTCGTGGACATCTGAAAGTATCCGTTCTCATTTAATTACGCAAACGCATACACGAGGCTGGATTAAAAAACGAAAGGAGGGAATATATTATATATTTATATTTATCAGAGAAATATTTATTATATATTTTATATTTATATCAGAGGGAATAAGCTTTTTCGGAGATAGAAAGATAAATAAAAAATAGAAAAATAATTAGAGAATATAAAAGTGAGCATGTGTTAATTAAAAGTAGATTGAAATTGTGAACAGCGGTGTCATCACGCAGTCTTCGATCAAATAAATTAAAAAAATGAAATTATCTGAAACACGCGCGGACCAGACAAATTGTATATTAAAATAAAATCTCATATATATATATATATATATATATATATATATATATTTATTTAATGTTTATTCTTTATATATTCGACATACATCAGCATAGAAATATTTATATATTTTTCTAACTGTCCATTTAAGTGACACGGTGCCACTTAAGCGTAGAAATGGATGCCGCTCATCGTCCAAGAAACCTCAATAACCAATGTTGCCTCTGTTTACGTATCGGGTTTAATTAAATGCGGGTATAATGTCGCGGCATTCCAACGATCGCGTAGGGTGTGCCTCTATTTTTAGATATCTCTCACTTAAATATAAATCTCACGATGCAAGAAAGAGAGAGATAGATCGCGTATTTTCGTTCACGCGTGTCACGCAATCGTCGCGACGGGAATCGCCTCCGACAAAACAAGAAAAAAGAGAAGACGCTTCTCTGTATGTTTATCCATGAGCGACCTTTGTTCACACGTTAGCGCCAGTATTATGTTATTCCGCAATCAAATGGAGATTGATACGTGGAGATCTTGTTATTTTAAGGTATTGCACGTGCAATGTTCATTTTATGTCTATCGATAATTTTGAAGGCATTCAATATATTTTATCGAAGGAGTGCGTTTTTGACTACATTTGTGAAAACAATAAAAACAACTATCTCGGACAAACAGATAATTATATGCAGATTGTATTTTAAAGAAATAAAAAAGTTTTATACAATGCACAGGCATCTATATAAAAATATATATAAATATGATTCTAATAATTCAAAATCATATTCTCATATATTTCAGTTAGGATTAACGATATTTGTGTCACGATTTTTCAAGGATATGATCTTCCAATAATGACCGTGTCCAATAATCACCGTGTATTGTCCATAGTTTGTACGAAAATACATGTGTGCATGTATTTCCGTTAAATTTAAAAATAAAAAGTCTTGTTTTTAGTAAAGATATCGAGAAAGATCAATAATTGAGCTTTAAAAATTAAAAATCTATTAAAATCTTTGGAATTAATGAACGAATAATTTTATATAATTAAAGTTTAATTTTATATATTAAAGTCTTTGGAATTAATGAACGAATAATTTTATATAAATATATTTTATACAAATATACAAAATTTCGAAGCTTGTTTTGTAAAAAGCAAAATTTCACTTTCAATAGCTTATAACAACGATAACTATCTCAGTGTCTCAATATTTTCATTATATCAATAAAGATCGACTCTAAATATGCTTTCGATATAATATCGATTTGTATATCAGTATTCTTTTTAATTTTGACTACATCGTTTTAGGCTTCAATTTATATAAATGCATTTTTATTTTGATGTTTCAAGGTTGATGAAGGAATTTATTCACGATCGATTCGCAAATACCATATCATTAGACATGTCAGAGTCATTACCGCAGTAGACACATTGGCTTGCCCCTTTCAACACGCGTAACGCGAATATAGGGCAAACCACTTCTATTTCCGGCGCATCATAGCGATAGAAATTAGCGTTCAACTAAGCTATAACTGAAAGAAATGACGCATGTTGATGTCGAATTATCTAACATTATTTATCTTTTCCTCGCGATTAGTAGTGCTGAAAACACGCGTACATTTGCAATCCGTAAGAAGCATTATTGCGCCGATGGCTCAAACTTTAATTATATTCACGATTTATTATAAAACTTTAAATATATATGCTGAAATTAAATTCCAAACTAAATCAACATTCTGTCTTTAAAGTTGATGAGGCAATTTCTAAACGTTATTTGTAATATCTACTTTAAGATTTCTTTTTCATACCTTAAGAGATTATAAAGATTTTGCACTCTGATCCGGAAATCTTTCTTAAATATCCAGAACGGTAATCCAACTATAATTTTTCTTTGTCTGAAAGAAACTGCGTGATTGTCGGTGAGTCTTTCTCGTCAATCTGAAAAAGTTCGTACATCTTTCAAAACATGAACCCGGATAAAGGAAATAATTGTGTTTAAATCTTGCGAACGCGGGTAACGAGATTCGTGGTATTTTGTTATGATAAGTATGATCGCACGTTATCTATACGCCGTGAGAGCAAAACAAATAAAAATATATCGATCTAATTTATCGGCGAAAATTAGTTCGTACGTGGTACGATATAATTCATTATTCTAAATTTATTTTCGTAATCTATTAATGCAGTAATCCATTTACGTAAGGTATTTCTAAGAGAGAAGACTAGCTAACAATAAGTTTAAGACTAATTTTTTTGCAAGAGTGAATGAAAAGTGAAATGAAGAGATCGGAAAATGAATTGTTTTTGAAACACAAATTTAAGATATTATATTAATGCATTTTTTCTCATGCACTTGTTTCGCTTTAATATTACAATTTTGTCAATTTAGACCGACTAAGAATTTATTGATTTCTTTGAATTCGCATAATTTTGCGCATGAAATAAGATATTAGGTTGTATCGCTGCTTCAAATTCTCTTAAATAAAATGAGATTAAACAACAATTATACGTGTCGATAATAACGTGTGTGTCGTTCATTGGCTTCTCGTCTGGCGCCTTCGATGATTGTAAACAGAGTACCGAACTACATAGATCCTCCCGGCAATCTCAAGAAGAGACGCATTTTACGATAGCGAAAAGTCCCGTAAATTGAAAAGAGGACTCGTTTATCTTGATCGCTTTCCCTTTCCTTCCTCAACCCCGGGGCTATTCTCTCTTGATCTTTTTTCCTCTCTCTCGTTTACTGTCTCTCGAAAGACTGACGCATTTCTATTCTTGTCTTCGTCTTTTCTCTTAATATTTTCTTATTATTCTCTTTTCTCTTAGTATCTGCGAAGTACTGCCGGCAGACACCACGAATAATAATGCATAAACACGTGAATATAACACTCGGAAAGATACTAAGCGAACTTATACGCACTTATGAGAAAATGCACTGATGTTCGATCGAGTGCGAACCGGCCAGGGGTGATCGACTTTTCCGATCAAAGCGCGAAAGCATACAAGGGAAATCTTTCCGTATTCTCGCAATTATACAGGTGTGAAAGAAAATAATTGAAAAATCCCAAATCTCTAAATTGCTTCGATTGCATATGGATTCACGTTGTTTTGCTATCAAATTGCGCGATTTCTTGATTTTACGAAAGTCTAATTAAAAATAAATTACATATCTCATTATGTGGCAATAAATGCAACTTTTAACATATATATTCATTATCTTTAATCTTTTTATCGTGTATATAACTCTCTATATAAATTCAAATAATGATGTTTTGTAAATAAATTAATGAATACATAAGTGTATAATATAAACTGATTAATGATTGCGATCATTATTGTTGTTCATTGTAACATTATTTTATATTTCAAGAATTATATTTTATTTCTTAAATAGAAAAGTTTTTAGAGAGGGAAAATTATGCTAGATCAATGGAGACTCCGTTGCATAAGTCATGAACAATAAAGTGTTTTAATTTAGTTGTTGGAGTTAATTTAGTTGTTCGTCTATAATATATATGATTCTTTGAAAATCTAATGAATTGTATATATTACACACACATGTCAAAGAAATCTATCCAGCGTGATCGAGCACAATAGCAATTGTCAAGTATCGATTAATATATGTAAATTTTTCAAAAATAAATTTTTGAAAAAGATTAATATTTAATAATCAATTCCATAGTTTGATGCCATCAAAAATAAATTGCCTTGAAATCGGAATAGTGTTTCGATGTTGTTAAATGTAATTCATAATTAATTAAAACACATTTCCGTTATACGGAATTCCATACTGTAATTTTATGCAGAACATAACAATGAGAGTACGCATTTATACTTGTTATGCGTTAAATTGTGCGTGAAGTGCAAGTAACGGAAATAAATTTTTTCGCATATTTCTTATGCATATCTCAGCAATTGCGAAGAAAGATTAGCCACATTAGAAGATTGACGATTAAATATCAAAGTTATGAAGATTAATTTAATTTTAATGATGTGATAAATGCATTTAATTTTTCCATAATCGACGCTGTGCAATTTGGACTGACACATAATTTGAAAAAATGAGCTGAACCAATGAGGCTCTTTTAAGAGGCAGATGCACTCTCTAATAATACAATTGTACGGTACACGAGTACCGAGCATGCTACGCTCATATATGTCAATTTGAAGAGGTCTCGTATTGTATTTAAAACAGCTAATGCATTGCTAAAATTAGTGGTAACCGTTTGTTCTAGAATAATTTGAAATCCGTATAATTTGCTATTTCTTGCAACAATTTAAAGTAATTTTAATGTATTTTTTGAAAGATAACATATATATATATATATATATATATATATATATATATATATAAAGCCAAAATGTCTTATATCCAGCTTTATATTATCAAATTAGCTGAATGAGTACAAAGTTGACTTGTTTTTAATAATTGTTAAACCGATATATCAAAAAAGTAAAATTAAAAATACTGTATAATTAATGCGATAAATTTAACTTAAACAGATATTGAAAATTTACAGTTATATATATATATATATATATATATATATATATATATATATATAATCAAAATAATAGTTCTATATATTATATTTAAATATAAAATCTTTTTAAATATAAATATCTTATTAAATATTTAATAATATATTTTAACGAAGCATTGTATTTTTTGTTATATCTGTTGTAAGATGTGAACTGTATCAGATATATCAATCCTTCCATAATAGTCAAATTTAATTGTGAAAAAAATGTGTTTTTCGTTTTTTTTTTTCGACGTTAAGAACCATAATAATTAAATAAATCGAGCAGAAAGAAAGAGAGAGAAAGAGAGAACAAAATGAATACGCGTATCGAGTGGATCTATCTTCAGCTTTCAGAAAGAGTATTCTCTTTCTCGGATATTATAATTTTAGTTTTCACGCAGCAGAGAGCACACCTTTCCGATAAGAATGACATTAAAGGCAAAAAAGAGACAGGATGCGAGAGACTTACTGAGTACGGTGAGGTAAAACACGGATCACAAGACGATTTCTCTATCACACGAGGTAGTATCACAGTCTGGCACTTTTTCTCGGACGATACCGAACGGTATCGTGGACGTAGTAGATAAGAAGTAATCACGATGACGATTACGATGATAGTGTGGTTGGTTTCTCTCATGGAGAAATGATCATGAAATATTCCGTAGACGATAACGGGTCACCGTTTCGAGACAATGCTGGCTTCTCGGCAAAATCAACCCTTTCCACTGTCTGGGATGCATTGATGCCCATCCACGAGCACTTCGCACGAGTCTTCTTTTTCTCCTCGTTTTTCTCTACTTCCTGCTCCGAAAGTAATTACAATCGATCGGTCGATAGCAGGAGACCCGTCCGTAATTGTTCCGGCTGAAACGTCGTGCGACTCTTGTGTGCGATCTGGATACCTTGATTCTCTCCAGGTTCACATCGATTTCGCAGTTTTGTCAGCTGAAGATGACACGATGTACAATAGTTAATATTCTTAGCTCAGTATTTAGGTCTCGTGAGTCACAGCCTTCTTCCCTCTCGGGATTTTTTCATCGACGAAATATCTCCAATGCAGTTGCACGTTTTTTATTTTTAATGAGATCCTCAGATATATTTTGTTCTATCCTGATTTGACCTTCCGTTAATGATCTTGTTATGCCTCGAACAAAAGGATCGTTATGCCTCTTTATAAGTCTGATAGAATCGACAGGTGATGATGCAGGCACGGATCCGATGCTTCTCTTCGAGAAGATCGACGAGGCACGTCTCGACCGCTCGGTCGCCGACGAGCGTCTCAAGCTCTTCCGAGTGAGAATGTGCGATCACGTTTCTGACAATGCCAGCCTGATTGACCGCAATTGTCACGAAGACCTGTCCCCGGAGAGAGGTTCGGTTCTCCGTCTCGGTAGAAGGTTGCTGGTGAACTAGTGGCTCGTGTCATCCCTCTCTTTCTCTCTCTCTCTCTCTCTCTCTCTCTCTCTCTTTCTCTCTCTCTCTCTTCTCCCGTGTTTGCTGTCCTTTAAGTGTGGTCGGGGGATAGCAAGAAAGAAAGTAAAGAGATTGAGGAGGGAGAGTGCCGAGTGAAAAAAACAATTAGTCTCAAGGAAAACGACGTATTTTATTTCTGTCAAAGATCGAATGCAAATCGTCCTACATCATTTAATCATTAATTGGGTGACGTGAGTACTTAAAAAACGGCACTGTGCGTAATCAGCTTGATAGAATTATTTAAAAAGTACAATTAATATTAATATTTTTCCTTTAACAAAATATATAAACAAATATTTTCCTTTAAAAAAATAAACAAGAAAGCATACATAATATGTAAATATTGCAGCAGAAAAAAGTTCCATATATAAAAAAATCTCATATCTTGTTAATTCGTAAAAACAAGCAAGTATCAAGCTGCTTACTATCGTAAAAAGAATAATTGCAAATCTTATTACACACGCGCGAATTCACTTTAAAATCAAGCTGAATTATTTTTTACTATCATTTATGTCTAAGAAGTAGAACATAAATATTCGTGATATAATTATGATGTACAGTTTAATTTTAATATTTATTATTATATTATTATATTTATTTTTTACGATTTGTAAATTTAATAAAAAAATAAGCGATTTATCGGATTGCATATATATCTTTAACCCGTCAAAAATGTTGCAATCATTCACAAGATTGCAATTTAATGAGTGATTTTTATTTAGCGAATCAATTAATCGATAGAAATTCAGATGAATGTATTTCATCAAGCAAAATTATTTTGCAATTAATCTGTGCCATTTTCGCAGCAAAATCCGGAAACTGTGATCGCGAAATTGATGAAGAAATAAAAGATGTATTCGCGACTAGGGAAAAATTTCCACGTTGGACGATGATTATGATAAGAGACTCTAGTGTGACTGCACTCTCTATTGATACAAATTAATTTCTCTTGTTTTTCCATCTTTCTATCTTCCTCCTTGTCAGATCACTCTCTTTTTCTTTCTCTCCCGGGTGATCGGGAAGGTTCGGGAGGTTGTAACGTCTGCGAATAATCGCCTTCAAATTACATGCATGACCTTTATCGAGAGGGGTCATGTACACAAGAGGTAAGGAGACAGAGAAAGCCGCCGGCCGGCCGGTTGGAGTTTCTCATTCTTTTTGTCCCGCATTCTTCCAGCCCCCGCAGACGGTCAATTGCGTCTGGACAGTTGTCTGCGAACACGTGCCATAGTCAGATCGTACGGATGTACTCTCACAATGCACTTTCCTCGGTACAATCGTCACCGTTTGTTGCACGGTGGACAGAAAAAGACGCGCCTTTTTCACATATTCTATTAAATTACGAAACATTCAATGTATAAATAATAACTATCTCTTTTGGACTACAAAACGTTTAACTACAAAAAATAGTATCTTACACGATGATTTATAACAATAGAGACTTTGATGAATGAGTTTAAAAGCTATTTTAAAAGAGATTTTTCTCTAAGCGCACGCGAAATCTTTCGATATTCTTAACGATTGTACTTCTTAAGACTTTACTCTCTGATAATGATCTGCAAGTGCTAGCTAACTGTCCTCTCCTTAAACGATCACAAGTCCTGCAATTGAGTCAACGGAATAACGCTATACACGGCAATTGTCTTCGTAAGCAGAAAGTACTGCTGTCCTACTTCCATCGGCCAGCCCTAATGGGACCTATTACTAAGCACGTGATCAGAAACCAACGATTTTCTGCGCAGAAGTAAAAATCTCACGAGTCTCGAAAATATCCCGATCTCTAATACTCGACAAACTTGTATTCTTACGATAATACAATAATTTGCAAACATTACATAATGATAGATCGTAGCGATTCTAATTTATACTTTCAATTTCATGAAATGTACCAAATATAATACTTGTATGTAATTCAATAATAATAAATACAAGCAATTAATAAAATATAATGCAAGTTTAATATAATATTCTATCAAAAATTTAAAATATTTTCAACAGAATTATAATTAAGTCTATTTAATGCATAGTGTGAAATAGTTAAGAGAAGTTTATTAGATCGAGCGTGTTTATGATCGAGAAAGCCGAAAATCCTTTTAGAGCTATTTTCTAAGAAATAAAGTTAGATGTATAAAAAGGTGATTTTGTGATAAGTTAATCGTAAGGCATTGCAGTAATACGAAGAATCTTCAGGTATATCGCGGTTCGCGTGACGTTACTCATTCGCTACCCCGCGATTTATCCAGTCAAGCTTTTTTCATAACGCAGTGGAGTGCACAAACTTTTTTTCCTCTCACATATCTAACACAACCTTAAATTATTTTATTCAATATATAATAATTTTTTTAAAAAAGAATTGTTATATGAAAATTACGTGTAGTGACGCACATGATGACTATCAGAAATATGTATATATTTTATTTTAATTTTATTGTTCATTTTTTTTATTTTCTAAATTTATTTTTAGAAGGATCTTTATTAATAGTATCTTTTTAAATTATAAGAGATACATATATAATATATCTCGAAGAATATTTAAAAAAAAACATTCTCTTTTCTTACACTTTCGCACGATGAGTTTAAAATTAAAATAAATTCATTTATCATTCTATGCTGAAATGAAGATGTGAATAAGTAATCTTTGTTCATGACTGCTACTCGCCTTTGTTTTATTGTCATTTTTATTACTTTACTTTTTGTCGTATTTGCTCCAAAATCACGTTATATAAACTTGTGTTTATAACAATAGACTAGGAATTTCCTCGAAATATGTGACATTAAGGAAACTTTTACGCACACGCTCGATTAATTGCGATTACGACAAAGACTAAAGAAAAAATACCGAGACACCTTATATGACGCGGTCAACGATCGTGATCGATAAAGGTTAGTGTAGCTTTCACTCGTGACATTAGCATCGTACATAGTTTGCTTTGCTCTAATATTTGTTTGTAAGAAATCGCATGGTGTGTTGCACAATGTTTATTGCCTGAACGAGCAGCCTGCATCATAAATATCGGAAGAAGTTTGCAAGATTCACTACATACAGAGATGATGAGAGTTTTATCCGTATAAAAAAAATTATGACATCAGAATATAAATATTAAATGCGTTATGAAATAAAAGTTATCTATAAAAGAACAATGACGTTAGTAAATAAATGTGTCGAATAAAATTCATTTTTATTAATAATGACGGTATTGGTGTAACTAGTAACTTTGAAATCTTTAATTATCTTCGCGAGGACGGCATCGAATCTTATTCTCACTCATTACATTTAATATTATATTAAATTATAAATGTAATATTTGTAATATTTAAATTTAACCCTCTAATATATTTAAATATTAAATGATAGAAATGTAATATAAATCCTCCTAAATATATGCCTTATATGCATATATGTGAATTGATGATTTAAGATAAGACAGTGATCTAACAATAAGTCACATGTGTATAAAAACTAATTTAATTATATGTCGTCAAATTTTAATATTGCAAAAATTATATTGTCATAATGTGACAAGATGAGTATTTAAAATGTAACATATAAACATTAAATAAAGATTAATGTTGTTCCTTGTTTAAGAATAAGATCAATCTCAAAATAAATTACTCAAACCATGATTTTAATCGCGCATAATTGCCGTTTGATATACACTTAGAAATCGACGTATGCGTTTCACGACAAAGTATTAAATTCGTTCCTTTCTGTGCGGGATAAAAGGTGGCGAAAGATCGGCGATCGTACTTACTGTGCGCGCGTGCCAACGGTTGTTACTCGATGATACGTGTGCGTTTTGTGGTAGCCGAAAAGATGATCGCCTCCCTTATAAACACTCAGCTCACCAGTAGTAATATTGAACAACGGAGACGTGTTCATTAAGCACCAGCTTACTTGTCAACTTCCCTTAATCGCGCGGCACGCGGCTAATGCCGCTTGCATACGGAAGGCCGTGCGGTCAACCGTGAACTGCCTCCTACAACCCTTATTTTACACCCTCGCGTCGGCCGATTTCGGTCCACGAGATTCCAGAAAGGGTCGCCGTCACTTATGTTCCACGAAATCGCGCGGTGACGTTTAATTAGGCGATGCGTTGTATGTTTTTCTGTCGCTATATTTTATTTTATTTATTTAACTATTAATAAATTTTAGTACTCCTGACATAAAACTTATTAGTTATAGCGTATATACATATACATATGATTTTATATCTAAACTCATAAATCTAACGAAAGATGTTATGGAAAATATTTATAGGGATATACATATATACATATATGTGTTTTTCTGCATTTAACACATTATATATTGCATTTATTTGTTCTTCTGTTTTTTTACCTATTTTAAAATATTGTTCGAGATACTTTTACATATACTACGAATTCTATCTTATATGTGGAATAATTATATATTTCTTTCATTTTTAAGATACTTAATAATTAGTCAGTATTTAGAATAATATTTAGATAATTAATAATTAAGCAATACTTAATAATATTTAATAATACTTAGATACTTAATAATTAATTTCTGGAATACAATATTGACACAATTACTTAATAATGTACAGTGCCAATGATATCGATTGACATCTTTATAAGACGCCTGTTATTAAAGTGTCTCTTAAATCTCTGTTGTCTGATGACGGGGAAGAAGATACACTTTGTCTTAAATATTAAATTAGATATTAAAAATAAGATATTTTTCATCAAATCATTAGATCGGAAACTTTTCGATCCCCTCAAAATAACGTTCGTCCAAAATAGAAATTTTTAGTGGAATATTGGCGTCGCTTTTACAGACACTCGGGCTGAGCCGGTGTGACTTACCAAGGACATTGTTTTTGATTAGAACAGGATCCCGTGAGCTATAATAGGTCAACTAGCGTCTTCGGGCTTCCTGGGCGGTGCGGTGCGGCGC